GTAATGTGGTGAAAGGCCAGCATCTCTGCCTACAGTGCTTTTCCTTGTACAAGCCACAGCAAATAAAGATTTTTTTTTTTTCCCTAACATGAGGCTGAGTGAAATGAATTGTGGTTTGTGTTAGATAATTGGTTTGGTTTTGGGTTTTTTTTATACTGAAGTTTTGACTGGTTTTGTGTTGCCATGATAATCATCCTTTTTGGAGGGTGGAAAGAACAGTATTTTTTAGTTAGGCTGGCTGAGTTCAGTCGTATGAGAATCATATACAAAATATCAATGGGGAGGGGAAATACTTTTATTTGTATTAAGGTATCTGTTAGGTGTATGGATGTCAAATCTGCTTTACAGGTGAGTCAACAGTAACAATTCGTAACCTAAATATATCTATCAGGTCTTATGGATAAAGGAAATTGTTATTCCTATTTTCCTAAATTCATTTCTCCTACACAGTTCTATCTGCTTTTCCCCCTAGCCAGTAAATAGCTATTCTTAGAGTGAGTTTTATGCAGAATATAATTTAACAAAAGAAAATTAATGGGATTTTGTGAAATGTAATAGAAAAGCCCAACAAAGGTTATGCAAAGTTTGCAAGTTTATTTTCTAGTCCTGTTACAGAATCCAAAACAAATTACTCAAACCCAAAAATTCTAAGTGTTCATTAAAATTTGCTAGAATATTGTTTTCATATGGCATTTAAGAGTATTCCTTGCAGATAAGTCTCCTGCCCTGTTAAAAATTGTCTGTGTGGTAGTGGGACATGCTGCTTATGGTTTGGTCCTGCAGATGCAGCAGTATGTGTGCTTCTTGGCACATCAGAGTTTTCTTGTAAATTCCCACCAATGCAAACTTAGATGATTGCACATTTGGCGCTGTGAACTATCCATGTCTGTCCCCAGGCTCTGATGCATCCTACTGTGATCTGGCCATCTTACTTTTTATATGCATTCTTTAGGAGAAAACCCTTTTTACTTATTTCTCTACATGAGAAGAAGCCCCAAAACATGCTGCAAGTGCATTGGACCCAGTTGGGAATTCCAGGTCATACCATGACCTAAACCATTGTTTTTCAGCATTATAAGGAATTAATTTTTCTCCTTATCTTAGTTAAACGTGAGCATGCTTAGTTGATCTGGATTTGCTCCCCCCCCCCAGCCTGTTTGCTTTCTCATTCTCCTACGCTAGAGCATTTCAGTTTTAGTCACTGCATGACATTGCTTAAGTCAGGGATGGAATGAAGTCACAAATTGAACAGTAAGCCAGTCTTCTCCAAAATTCATGGGAGAGAACTGGATTCACAATTATTGGCATAGATGAGCAAATGAATACTGACCAACGTGCAATTAAATTCACCTTAGCTTAGCTCTTTGTTGTTCTGTTTTATCAAATTAGTTGTTTGTTAATGTTGATTGCAAACATCTTATTCATGCCACTATTCCCAAGTATCTGGCCTTTGAGTTGCAATGAGTAAAGTGGTTTGGAAAGAATCCAAATCAGTTCATGCAGAGGCTATGCACGTAAGAAGAAAACTACTTACAAAGTCTGAACATGGATTTTATATGCACTTTTACCCCGAAAAAAAAGACACTGTGCATATATATGTGTGCAAATGTGTGCATATACAATTACATCAATCTAAAATTTTCACCAATTTGCTGTCTTGCTTTCACATCATCATATGTCTTTTAAAGTAAATTCCAGGTTTTCTTGCCCTTTAAGGAAAGGCATTTTTGTTTACTTTCTGAATAATGGTTTCCAAACTATATGCAGTTTTGTAGTAGTGAATCTGAAAAATGAAATATTTTAAAATGTTTTCATGCATTCAATTTGTAACTTTTTTAGAAAATAATACTTTAAATACCTGTAATTTTATCTAGTCAGACTAGTCTGGCAGTGCTCTAAATTCACCCTGAGATAGATGAAATATTCGAACTGTTTGGAAAAGAAGGTGCTTTCCTGTATACAAGTACCATGCAATTAAATTACAACTTACAAACTTTTCCAGTTTAGGATGTGTGTAAATGTACTGAAATTGGTGGATTAGAGCAGTGTTTACCCTCTTGTGCTTCTTTCTTCAAGAGGGATTTAAGCTTGGTCTGTTGTTCTTTTACACATGCCCTCATTCTGAGGGTTCTAAGTTTTATGAGTAGTTCAGACAATACTCTAACTATCATATACTCAAATTTAAAGCAGCTCAGTACAATACAGTGATGTCTTTGAACTGTGTAAAATGTTTTCACAGTCTTGTGCAATGCAGCATGTCATGCTGCACATGTTGATGTTTTGTGGTGACCCTGGCTGGGCTGTGCTGATGGGGTTCACATCTCATTTTCAGTCTTGGGGGGGTAAAATCAGTGTGGATCTCCTTACAGGCATGGTGCTGACCTCACTGGGTGTACTCTGTGCAGGCAGGATGGATGGGTGGATGGCTGCATGGGTTTTACCATGCACTTGGTCCTGGCATAACTCATCACAGCCTGGTGTTATGATTCAGACCAATCTGCTGGGTCCCAGAGTCAAGGCGGGGCCACCGAGATACCTGACAAGGCATCCTTACATGTTAGAGGCCATGTGGCAGAAAATTCACCATTGAGAAGAAAAGGGCTCTCCCTCTCCCCACTTGGTGCTAATCATGGAGAACAATGCTGGCTGCTTTGCAAAATATTAGTACTGCTGTACAAAATCTGGGCCTCTGCTTATAGCCCGCTGAGTCAGACTTGTTTACTTCACTGAAGTATTAATCTCTGTCTCTGATTGGCAGTCAACAACTCCAGGCTCCAGGCTTAATAGAATTTCAAACTGTAGATTATGCAGTTTTGCTGAAAATATGAGGCTTCTATGGCGTTTTGAATGACATATTGTCCCTCACTCCCCTTTGGTCTGTTTTTCAGGGCTGAGGTTAAGATAGATAATTAATTCCTCCCATCCCAAGCCTTGTCTTTTAATTTAAGAATTTTCTTTAGCATCTGCCAGAATCTTCTGCATGCGCTCCTGAGAGGTTAAGCAATGAAAGAACCATTAAATTAAGTTCAGAAATTAATTTTTTTCAGTAGGATGAAATAGCACTTCAGTATATCAAGCGGCTTCTGGTTTATGTTATTTCATAGCGTGGCAAAGAAATATGGGAAGAAGCAGCTCTTTTCTCTGGTTGCATGAGAGGATGGTGAGTGAGGAGGCCTGTCTTCTGGTTCTTCAGTTTACTTCTGTGTTAGCAAGAAGTGGGACACAAGGAGTGGATCAGTGGAGTGAAACATCTATTTGCCAAGGGCCTGATGTCCACACTACACAAATGGGGAGGAGTTTAGCTGCATTCAGCTAATATTTCACTTTCCTCAGAAATTCTTTTCTGTTGCCTGTAAAGCATTTTGTGAGAACGAAGCAGTGTCACGCTGTGTTACACTGTTCTTTGTGTTCTGAGGTCCATAAACACTGTCACTGGTGAGTCATTCCTGGATGGGGCTCTGATCACCCTCCTGCTAAGTCTGACCAATTCTCCATATTGTTTGTTTGCCACTCCAAAAAACTCATATAATCTTTTCACAGACATAACTTCACCATTTAGAAATCCATGCATTTTAGCTTTTTCTAAGAAATACATAAAAGTAAGTTAGTACGAAATCTACTGGAATGATCCCTCTGGCAAACTGCATGTACACCTGCTGGTAAGTCCCAAACAGTAGCAGCAGGCTTAAGCTTATGTGTCAGAAACACAGCAAAGGAAAAATGGTCACTCTTGGAGTGCCTTGAATTAGCAATTCCATGCAGAATTTATGACAGGTTTTAGTACACCAGCTAGTGAGGCTGAAATGTCACTGCTGCATTGAAATTCCATATGCATCCTGCCTTTCTAGTTGTTCTGCTTCTGTGTGCATCCAGTCTCACTGTTCTTTTAGTAGGTTTTTAAAGATCCTCAGTCTTTTGCAATTGTATCATATAGCTGTCAATTCACAGACTTGACAACTTTCCTGCTTTTGGCAATATACTGTTTCTTTTATTGCCAATATGGTGCCCTACTGGTTCTCAGGACAGATGGTAGTTGAAGCTGCTGATTGTGGGGAAGTTCTGGAGAAACTCAAAGATGCATTTACGGATCAACCCTCTTGTGCACGCACTGGAAGTCCAGTGCTACAGCTGTGTTAAATTACCTGTGTCTGTGATGGATGAACTGCACATATGAAGACAGTTTCCTGGGCCACAGTTGGTTTGTGTTGCATCATGTGCACATCAATTATATCCATGATTAGGGTGCGTAAGATCTGCCAGTGATAGGAGCTGGTCCCTGATATTGGTTCTGCTAATACATTGCTTCAGCTAATAATTCTTCCTAAATGATATATGTAAAGTAGATATATATTTCAAATCCAAGAGAAAGTAAGGACCATCTGAATTGGTCCTACAAGTCTGCAGAGTAGCTATTCTCATCACTTCCATCTGAAAAAAATAAGGTTTGAAAAATCCACTTTTTACTCTATTTCATATTTGGTATAGCTGCCCAATATGCAATTTCTTGGAGAAGAATGTTGTTGCCACCATACCAGAATACTGTAGTTTAGTTGCATGGTGATATTTTAAAGATCTCAGTATATGCCTGGGATTAATTTCATTCAACCAAGCATAAGCATTGAACATGAGTTGTTCTAGATGCCTCTGTAGTCAGTAGACAGGCATCTCTCAAGAGAGACTCCTCCCATCCCATCCTAAGCTATGTCTCCAAAATTATTTGTGCAAATTCATTCGGATGGGTTGTCAGCTGCAGATGATGAAAGCCATGAAATCAGATATGATGGAGTTCCAAAGTCTTTGGAGACTGTGAGCATTATGCCTGATGGTCAATCTATTCAGCGTCATTCTCCTTATTTAAAGAATTATTTCATGTTCTTATTTTTCCACTCTGTGGGTAACCACTTTAACAAAAGTTGTGAAGAGTTCACCACAGCTTTAGATAGTGCTCAGCAGGTTGTTCACTTCTGTTGTCTTACATGGGTTATTTTTCTCTTCTTTAGTCTTCTGGTACCAGTATCACAGTGGATATCGCTGTCATGGGAGAAGCACATGGGCTCATCACGGACCTTTTGGCCGATCCTTCGCTGCCCCCCAACGTGTGCACATCGCTGAGAACAGTGAGCAACCTGCTTAACACGCAGTTAACCTTCCAGGCCATCCACAAGCCAAGGGTGAATCCTTTGGTGTCCTTCAGTGAGAACTACACCTGCTCCGACTCAGAGGAATGTCCGGAGAAAGGAGAGAAACTGGCCATTCCCAAGGTGAGTACTGGAGCCTGTGTATCATCTTGTTACTTGGCTCTCCCTAAAGGTACATCACTGGGCTATTGGGAGACATCACTGGGATTTTTGCTTGTTTGCTTCAGATTAACATCCTGTGCACCGATGACAGTCTACTGGAAAAGGACAGCTAGTCCTTTGGTTGGTTTCATAGTAACACAATTCCTGTGTATCCCTCAACTTGCAACCAGGTTTACTTTGGTTCAGGCATGTTTAGAAGATGGTGTTCAACACAGAATAGATCACACAGATGGTGTGCATATTTTCTTGCAGCTGTTAGTTGGAGCTTGGGAGAAGAAATGACAGGGAGAAGAGCAAGCAGAAGCCTTTTGTCATTCACACTCACAGGTCTGCCCCATCACTTCTTACACAGAAATTCTCCTCCCACTCAAAAGATTTGAGCCACTGCATGAGGGATGACTGTCCTAGACAACGAGCATTGGGGAAATAAGCAGGAATATGAGGGACCTTTTTGCTCACTTTAAAGCTTGGAATTTGAAATTCTGTATGAATTTCAGTCTCTTCTTCCTTCCCTTAGCCAGAAGTGTGAAACCTATAGTAGTCAATGAAAAACTCCCTCTTGATGACCTCCAGGGCTTTGGATCAAGTTTAAAATGTTGCATACCAAACAAACAAACAAAAAGATTATCACAGTCATTAGTATGACAACTACTGTGAGCTCATGAGAAGTGGTCTTGAGAAGAAAAGAAGACTGAACCAAAAAAATCTATTAGTGCTTTGACAGATGGCTTTATAAGTGCTCAGGAATATGACAAGAAATAACCAATGTTAGCTACCCACATTTAGCAAGTGAACAGCTAGAGAGAACACATCAGCTTTGAAGTAGTTTGAGTTGTATGTTTGTTGCTAATTAGCTGTCCTGCAAGGCTTACGTTTCACTTTTGAAACAAAACCAAAATGCTTTTGTACTGCAGTCTCCCTTCTAAAATTAAATATAGGCAGAGTACGTTGCACAGGCAAATGCTTTTATGTTTTTACAGTTTAAATGGCACAGCCAGCGTTCATTCCAGCATTTCCCAGCATCCGAATTGCAACACTTGTGATTCTTGTTTTTATTATATTTTAGTGTGATGATAATTATTACCCTATTTGCCTGTGTAGCAGCTGTATGTATGAAATGGATGTTCACGGGTTTTTAACCACATTTTCCAATTTATTTTAGTGAACATGTCTATCATGGCTGCAATCTGGGCTCTGAGGGGAAAAGTTAAGTGGAAGAACACTGCCATCACATGAGCAAACACAGGGAGCAGATAGATACCCGTTTGCTGTTGTGTAATACCTAGTGAGGAGAAGACAAATGAATGATGAAGAAATGAGTTAATGCTACAGAGAACTAATTTGACTGGAGTTCACTGACCTAAATGTATTATGGTTCATAAAACTAATTATTTGCAGTCCTTTATTTATGTGTATAAATATAGATTTAGGGTCTTTACCTTTAGCATCTGACACGATTTTGGGTAAGGAGATAGTATGTTTACATATTTATCTTTAAGTCTGAGCTTCAGAACCACAGGTGTCTTCCATCTCGTATTTCTTAACCCTCTGGCAAAGTCCAAGATCTCCGTTGCAGAGATATATTTATTTTAGTTCTTAACTATAAACATTTCATGAGAACTACAAGGGAAACATCTTACAAAATTATAGCATCTCTAACAGCAAATCTGGATCCAAAAAGACTCTTTATCATCATCCCTTATTATCACTGTCTTCAAAAATAAAAAAAAAAATATGTGAGTCCTGTTAGTGGAGGAAAGGAAGAATCAGGTGAAAGAAAAATGCAGGGTGGTCAAGAAAAATCTGCTGTAAATAATGATGCTTTTTCGAAGCTTATCAAGAGACATCATATCCCAGAGAACAAGTTTTATTTCGGTGGGTGACCTTTGGATTGGGTAGATATAGCAGAAAAAAAATTGGAGCTCCTGTCCCTTATTTTTCTTACAGCCTTTCTTGCCTTGAATCTCTGATTCTGAGAATTCATGAGAGTTTAAATCATAGAATAGTTGAGGCTGGAAGTGCACCTGGAGATTGTCTAGTCCAGTCCAGGGATCATCTAGTCCAGTCTCTCATGCAGAAGGTTTTTCTAGGCTCAACCTAGATCAGGTTGCTCAGGAGGATGTCCAGTTGGGTTTTGAGTATCTCCATGAATTTAAACTTCACAGTCTCTTTGGGCAACCTCTTTCAATATTCAGTCATCCTCACAGTAAAAAATATTTTCCTACCTTCAAATGAAATTTCTCGTATTTCAATTTTTGCCCAATTACCTCTTGTCCTTTCACTGGGCACCACTGGAAAGAGCCTGACTCCATCTTCTTTACACCCTCCCTTCAGGTATCTGTATACATTAGTAAGATCCACCCTGAGCTGCCTCTTCTTCCAACTGAGGAATTCCAGCTCTCTCAAGCTTTCCTTTTATGACAGATGCTCCAATCCACCTTTGTGGCCCTGCTAATTTGTTTAAGTGCCTTTGGCCACATCAGATGTTGAACCTCTGTGGCTATGGGGCTGTGGGTGTAGACCTTTTTTAAAACTTGAAACAGGGAGGATGGTCCAGACCCTGCAAGCATTTAAAACATTGGCTGTGTTGATTTGAGTAGAAGGAAAGCACCCCAATACCTGGGAGAATCCAGATTTACGGTGCCTCACTAGTTGTTGTCAGGCAGAATTAATCAAATGGAAATGGTTTTTCTTCTGCATGTTTGAAGGGTTTGTAAGCTGATATAAACTCTAAGCAACTGATTTCTCCTCAGCGCTTACGGAAAAGTTTGCCTCCAGGACTGCTGAGACGAGTGTCCTCAACTTGGACCACAACAACATCAGCCACAGGATTACCTACACTGGAGCCAGCTCCAGTGAGAAGGGATCGCAGTGCCAGCATCAAACCCCATGAATCATCTTCATCCAGGTTACAAATTACCTCCTCTCTCTTTTATGTTTCTGTTTGGGCAGATTTCTTTGGTTCTGTGTGATGATGTCCCTCGTTCAAAAATGCTGGCTGTGAAGTGTGTTAAAACTACTTCTTCATGTTTCTTTAAGTTGGGTTGCCAAAGAAGGAGCATTCGCAAGTTTAGTCAGATTGCGCCAAAATTATTTGTATTATTGGGAAGTAAAATAAATTTTAAAAAATCTGTTTATGCTAACAAAGTGCAGAAGTGCACAGTGAGATTGGAAGAAAGGCAAAATATCTGGTTGAATTCTTCTTGATATGTAGCAGTTTCCTGCGTGGGTATTGCCCAGCCAAGAAAAAACTTTAACAAGTGACCCAGCCATTTCTAAGAACACACCTAGTGATGTGGTTCTGTCATTAAACCAGTTCATAAAGCACTTCTCCATCCTCCATTCTTCTCAGGGCCTGATCCCTGAGCCAGTATCATAAAATACATGGTCCTCCCATGAAATGGAGAAAGAGAAGTTGTATCTGCTCAGCTGCTTACATCTAGCAGATGACTTGTTTAGGGCATTTGCAGAGGACTGAGACCTATGTACCTCACATTTTGGGATTTCCATGCTACCATAAAGCCTGAGTTGAGCTGCTTTTAACCCTCCACAGGGTCTGTGGCAGATAATCCAGTAGCAGACAGTGAAGAAGTTGAATGAATGTCATCCTTGTGCAAAGAGCTCTTGTTTGTGACAAGAAAGGCTTGGCTCCCAGGCACTGTTAACTGTGATCATGTTGTGTAGCTATTTCAAGAGGATTTCCTCCTTTCTGGCTCCATGAATATTCTTCTGTTCTAGTCAGAGAGGAGCAGAGCCTTCAAAAGTAGGGTGGAGGGCAGTCAGTTGTGGTGCCACCCTGAGAGAATAAAGTTCAGGTCCCCTCCCCAACCTCAGCAAGGGTTATCATCTTGGAGCTGGAGGAGAGAATGTGGAGACATGCTTTGCTCTGGGGAAAGAAAGATCAGAACCAAAGCACCAAATTCAAGAAGAGAATTTGGAGTCATGTTATCAGAAGACTCACATGCTTTTCTGAAATTCAAAATTTGGTACCAGTAGCAGAGAAAAATATAGGGCCTGAGAGGGCCTGAGAACACCAGTGTTGGCTGTTAAATAGCTTGGGTGAACACAGCCCCAGAGAGCTGCATTCTTCCAAGGTCAGCCTTTCCTCCAGATACATAAACCCTTCCCACAGAGGAGACTCTCATGCAGGGCATCGAGGTGCTCAAGGCAGCCTGCAAAGTGCACTGCAAGAAAAACACGTGGCTGGCCAAAATTCCCTTTGTGAGGAGTCCCAGCTATCTCAGTAAAAGCTCGAACCAAATGGAAACGCTCTTCACTCACCGACCTGTGGTTCCCAGGGTGTATTTGATTTATGCTGTTGATCCCAGTCTCACGTAGTATGTAAGCATCCCAAGATGGGAATCAGAGGGAGAAGGAGAGCAATTAAATATTATTGTTGGTCCTTTCCTGCAGTTGTTATATAACTCTGCACGATGAGCCAGCTAAGCAGGCTATCAATTCTTCCTATGTTTAATGTCGCCAATTGTATAATTATAGCTCTGTCAAGCCTCCCAGCCTACTGTTTGTAGTACTTCTCTTACAGTAGGAGAAACAATGTGTATTCCAGAAAGGGCAAAAATGGATCCTATAAGTCTAGCTTTAAAAGTTTTGGCAGACCAAGAGAGATTTTCTTTCAAGGAGAAGAATTTTGAACTGAAGAGACGAAAAGTCCTGATTATCTGCCACTTCTCCTGTACCAAACCAAATTCAAGCACTCCACAGGTCACAGAGAAAGAAGTGTTTCATAGGTTGAAGGGGTAGGAGAGAGGCTGACACTAGGATTTCCCTGTGGCAGATGTCACAGTTACAAAATGTCAAAGTTACAAAATCTTCAACTTGTTCCTCACAGCCTGGAACGTCATCTCTAGATTTCTGTAGTCACAAATTTGCGAAAATCCCCCTTAAATCTCTGTTTGAGATTAGTAATCTTGTATTCCTCTAACCCTATGTCAATAAACTGGTAAGACATGGTCCTCCTATGGCTTCTAATGGTACAGGAAAAATAATAGAACTTCCACGTTCTCTCCCTCAGTCACTTCTATATCCAGTGGTTCTCCCTTAGGAAGTCAAAGAATGTGGTTGGGGGCTTTTTGGTTTGTTTTGTTGGGGTTTTTCTTGAACTTCACAGTGGGCCAGTGTGTGATATTCTTTGTGTTAATTAAAAAACAAAATAAAACAATAAAACCATAAAACAAAACAAACAAAGAAAATTTTTAAAAAACCATCTGGAATCTTTCTTTGTCTCATTTCATCACAGATTATAGGAATTTGGGCCAATGAAGACAGCCAGCAATTATTTTTTGTAGGTAGTACGTCTCTTCCAAAACAATATATTTGTAGAGGTGTAACACAGTGTTGCGTAGTTTTTTCTTACAGAGTGCTTTTTTTTTCTTTCAAGTTCTTTTCAAGGTCAGCTGGAGCTAGACTACTTTAAAAGTCTGTCTTCTGGCTTGTGTGTCACCTCATCACTTGCATGTGAGGCTGTGAGGGGGAACGTGGAGCCTGAGATGCCTGGTGGATCTGTCCAGAGGGCTCACAGGCCTTGCTTGATAAGAGCCAGTGCTGCATCCCTGCAAGCAGCTGAAATTTGATGAGTGGCATTTGGGAAAACAGTAATAAATATAGTTTTCTTGCTGTACAGAAGAATTTTGGTACAGAGTTCTAGCCTGAAGGCTGAAAGCGTGGGTCCATGCTGTTGTAGGGGACAAGCATTTGTTCCACACACAGAGACCAGAGACACATGACCCCTATTTTCCCTCAGTATGTTTCCCTTGGACCAATGTCTTCAGGGTGTGTCAGTAGGATTTTTTTGGGGATACAGTTGACTAGAGTGTAAAGGGGCACATGAGGAGCCATGGCCATGCAGGGTGCTTCTGGACCTTCCTGGTCTCCTGAGGAGCTCCTCCACTGCCCTAAGGATTGGTGGGTATCTGCTGTGGCACCAGCAGCAGAGGAGGCTGGGCTTTTAGTTATACTGAGAACTTGAGTCATTTCTGGCTCTTTTAAGGAGGTGTTAAAAGGAAATATAAATCTAATGTATTTCAAGTCAACTTTTGAGCCTCTGTACTGTCAGAACAATATAATGAAGGCATGTGTATAAATAAAGTGAATAGGCCTCAACAGCAAAGGAAGCCCAGCTTTTGGAGTGTCTGCATTGTAAATATTTTTGCTGAACACAGTACTGAGCACCTCACAAACTGCAGTTCAGCCAGCCCATAGATGTTGTTTTCCTTGTCAGATTTTGTGCTATCCCAGTATCACATATTTCTTGCTGCAGCTCCTAACTTCTTAAGGTCTGCCATTGAGGCTTTTACCTGTGTTGAATGGTGCTTGTTTGTGCTCTGGTTTTGCAGCCCTGACTCCTGGAACAGCTCAATTCTGATGACAATCACAAAGAGCAGGTCCTTCTCCACCTCCTATGCCATGTCATCTACCAACCACCTGAATGCCAAAAGGCAGAGCCGGCAAGGTGAGTGGGCATCCACGACTCTGTCAGGCTCACTTAACTGCTCCCCATAAGTAGCAAGTGCAGCTGTTTTTGTTCTCTGTCCAATCTGTTTCTTTTCTTATTTTTCCATCAATATAATATGGTTATTTCCTGTATTTAAGAAAAAACAACACAGTGTCTTAAAATACTGTAGCTCATAGTGATACCATTGTAAATGTTTTGACTTTTTGATTTGTAGAGGTTAGTCATGACATGATGCAGCAAGTGTGATACAGAACTGTGTTGTGATTTATATCCATGTAATTCCCTTGACTGCAACAGGGCTGAGAACAGAGTGTTTTCTGTAACATTTATGACATTAGCTGTCTGTGCATATTGTCTGACTGAGATTTCCTGAAGCACAATGTGCATAATGCCATTTTCAGCTGTAAGCAGCAACTGACCCATCTTATGCAAACATATCCAAGACAAACCCTTTGTAACTCTGTCTGTGTCTGTATATTTATTTATGAGAAAGTACAGGTAGTTCTTATTGATATTTAGAGATGAGAAATAAGGGGCTTTTCACTCTGTTTTTTGAGACTCTAAAAAAAACCCATTACTCCTGTTTTAACTAGGGAAAGAAATTGAGAAGGTGACTTTGGAATTGATAATTAAATGTTTGATATGACAGCCATGAAGCAGCCTTAATCCACAGTAATGGGGTTCTTCTCCCTGTACAAATGCAGGATAATATAGTGTTTACTCATGCTTTAACTTGTAATTCAAAATTATTACAAGACTTCCCTTTTTTATATCAGCCTGGGTTTTTTCCAAACATGGAATGATGTTGAGATAATGTTACTCAGAGATACTGGCCACCCAACTATCAGATGGAAATTGATACATGCCTGAGGTCTGACATTGAAAAGGTCAGAGAATCCCAACTTTGAGATGGGTTTGAAGACATGGCTGCACAATTATTTTGCATATCTAACACTGTCACATTTCATCTCCTTTTCAAACTGAAGAGAACTGTACAACATCTCTTCTTGTACAGAAGCTGCTTTGTGTTATCACAGGGAAGACCAAGAAACACAGTACTATCTTAAAATGTAATAGGCACATAGGCAATTGAATAAAATTAAACCTGGAAAATAATGGAGATACAGTACCAGGAATCCAGGAATTTGTTGTAAAACAAAACAAATATTACACTTAGACTTGTTATTTTCAGAGATTACCCAGTGAATTTAAAGGGAAAGGGGTGGAGTGTATAATATTTTGTATTTGAAAACAACACTTGCCAACTCCATCAGTCAGTTTTACATATAGTAAATTCTGCTTTCAGAAAGCATTAATAGTCATCTCTATTGCCCAAGTACGTGAGCTCCCACATGATGAAGGGGGATCTCCATTCCATCACAAGCATTTCCTAGGGGTATTGAAGGAGAGGAGTAAAAGTTTTGTGTCAGCATTTTGTGTAGAAGATTGATATTTCAATGTTTTAGGCTGTTTATAATCATGCATTTTTAGTTATGATTTGTTTTCATGTTCCAACTAAATAATTATTTCCATTTGCCATAGTTAATACTATTTAGACTTTTATATATTAGCTCCATTGGCAAGATACACTAATTATTAGTAGAAGTTGATCTAGCTAAATCTGTAAATCTGTTAATTTATAAAATGTGTCTTTAATTATGCATGAAAACAGCTGCTAGTTATATCTATTTTCACAAAAAAAATCAAGTGTTTTCATATGTCATTTCACATCACGTTGAAGTCACTGTTTTATATCTTCAACACTGCACATATGAAGAAGTTCTGGAGTACCTAAGCAGATGGATGTACTTAAAAAATTCTCTTTGTATTTTTATTCTTCTCTTATCTTGACTGTTCAAAATTCCTTACTGTAGCAAGACACGTTTACTCTCACATTTGCCAATAATGGTTAAATGTTTGATTATTGAAAATAGGTTCGCGTTTTTTCTTGTAAATTTATTTATTTATTTGTGGTCACCTACCCTGGAAAATTACTCTTTAAGCAAACAAACAAACAAACCCCAAAACACACACAATGAAAAATATGTCAGGAGACAGGAGCCCAGACTGGCAGTAGAAAGGCAGCTGTGATTAGAAACATTATTGTGAGAACTGCTGTTTAAATTCCCAGGACTTGTTTTAACTGTTGAAAGATGACCATATGTATTGTATCTTCTAAATCATATCCTCTAAGAGTCATGAATATTACCTGGTAACATGTAGCTCAAAAATAGATAATAATCCAACTCAATCTTCTGCACGTCTAACAGACTGCAAAATGTTTTTAAAGACATATTTTTTTTGGATGGAAAGCAGATATCTAAATGAATTCATAAATGTGAAACAGAGGTTTTCTGTATTTTAAAGCAATTTCCCTGTGTCATGGCCATCTGATAACATTTTAATTGCTCTGAAGGCTGTAGTTTTCTGATCTCAAGACAAGCGTAATATCCTACTTTCAGTCTCTGAATTAAGACAGTAATACATGCCACATGTTTGCTGAAGAAATACCCTAATCAAAACTGAGGAGATGTTGGATATCTCCAAATTACAGCTCCATAACTGTCAGAATTTTTTTTTTTAACTCTTGGATTATCAAAAATAAATCATATTTTAGCCTCATATCACAGAAAGTTGCTATCAGGAAAAAACACTGGAACTGTATACATATATCCTGCAAGGTTAGTATTTCATAAGCTTAGAATAAGCCAACATATTGCCTTATTCTAAGATAATTTTTGTGTCTGGAATACATTTAGATAGTGGGCACAATTCAAACATAAAACCAGTTCAAGTTCCTAATGTCTTTCTATCATTTGGCTTTGAAGATGAATGTGGTAAATTAACTGGGGCTGAGTTCCTACAAACTTTAGATCAGGAGGTAACTCAATTTATGTGCATTTCCTTTCAAGATAGATTAAGTTTACCCCTCTATGCTTTGATTGGAATTTTGTCTGAAACTAGAAAAATGTAAAGTGGATTCAAAAAGGAGGCGGCACTTTGTTTCAAGCTCTGGACCAGCTGATGCATTTCATCTTTGCAGTGGTGCTTAGATAGAATAAGGGACAGAGAGAACTACATCTCAGTAGTGCTCACACATGTGGATATTGGCAGTTCCTGATACTCTAGCTCAGGAGTAACAATACCATGTGGTACAGGTAATGGTTGCAAGTTCCCTTAGTGAGCAACAGATATTGAAAACTAAACTCAAGCTGCACAAGGTCAAGGCCAAAATCTGTGAGGAATGCAGAAATGGCACCAGAAGTGCAGTGTTTTCTATAATGGATGACCACTAAAAATTGTTTTTTTTGGTTCATTCCTAGTCTTCAAACATGTAAAAATCCAAATTTTCTGGAAATGTGTGTAAGCTGTTCTTGTCCTGGCTTTACAGATGAAGACAGCGAAACAAAGATGGATCTGGCATCTGCAGATGAGTCTGGGAACTTTGGAGTTTGGTGTCTCTGTCAGTAGAACATGTTGATACCAATAGTCATGCCACTAACACATGCTTTTCATTTCATGCCTGCCAGTTAGTGCATCCTGCTCAAGGGAAAATATGCTTTGTATTTTGAGCCAGATCTTCAGCAGGTAGAAGTGGCTGATACTAATGGAATTTCATCTCCCTGTGACAGCCCTGGGCTTGGCTCAGAGTGGAGCAGGGTATTCTGTTATTTTCCTGTTTGAAAGCTGTGCTGGTACTTGTGCATCTCAAGAGGAGTATTTCTGCACAGTGAACTAATGCAACCATTTGCCACTTCTGTTAATTGACAAGACTCTTCTCTTCTCTTGCCAGGTATCCCACCAAATATTTCACCTCTCACCTCCCCGTGCCATTCACCAATTCAGGGGACCCCTGCCACAAGTCCTACTGGAAAAACATCTTCTGTGTCATTTCCAGACTCTACAGATACTGACACCAAGCAGGGCTTAAAGCCACACAAAGTCTTAACTTCTTCTCAGAGTGCACCTCCCCTGTCAGATCCTGTTATCAGCCCCTCTGTCATCTGCAGCAGGTAAGATTGTAATTTGACATGAGTAGGATTAATTTCACATTGTTCTCGTGAACATGCTCTTTTGGCCCATGTACAAGACTTTGTGATTTACTGCAGTATTGTGTATTGACATTTCAAGTTTGTAGTATTTGACTTATTGTATAGACCAATGCTACAAAATGCTTTTAAAGTGGAAGAGTGTTAGCTACATTTATTGCTGTTACTGATGTCAGATGGACAGTCTGATTCATAAATAAATTCTTTGCCAATGATTTGCAGATCCCGAAGTTGGATTTCATGTTAACAACCTGTGGTTTTTATGCCATGTCCTCTAATATGAATAGTCACCTTCAGGTCACAGGCCAAGTCTTCCACAGCAGGCACCTGATGTTTGATAGAAAAATCTGACTGCGAGGGTTGAAAAGATTCTGGCCTGTAGGCTTCTGGTAAAGATGTGCCAACAATTCCTGAAGGCTACACAATTTTGAGCGTTCTTTCAGGAGGAGTGGATCCTGTGTTCCATAGGCAGAGTCAGATTATGTAAAGTCAGGATTTTTTTTCAGAAATCAACTGCAGATAAATTCTTTCAAGTACTAAGAGTTAGAGTTACACAGTTTAATTTGACACTTTAAAGTAGCCCTTTATTAGATAACACAGGCTGATCCTGCTTTGCAAAATCAGCATTTTGGAAAGAAAGTTGTTCTGCTTATCTTCTCAGAAAGGATTCAGTTGCTAAATTGTGTTAGTGGGGTTTACAATATGTGTCCAGAACAGTGGGAAACACTGCTATTCCTAAGCCTGTTCCAGTGCAGTTTCAGGGTTACCTTACTCACTAGATGTCACTTCTGATCGTAGCAGTGAGTGATTTGTGATTAGTGGACAGCACATCATCTGAGGCTGGGTTAAATGCTATCAAGTTTGACTATCTTTGGAAATGGTTTTTCCTTTCTGACTCCAGTCACGTGGCTGTGGATGTGTCTCAGGACGCTGCGTGCAGGGCAAGGAAGGGGGTGTGAGAAAGTCAAAACTGAGACTGCAAGTTTGCTCAAGGGAGTCATCCTCACTGCAGTTCAGACTGGAATCCCAACAGGCTTTTAAGATGGGTTTAGGTAACTAAATAGAAATTTAAGTGCTTTTAAAAGTTTTCCAAAGTTGTATCAAAACTGGGACTTGGACTGATTCATTTGAAATGAAAACTGTATTACACAACAGAATATAACAAAGAGGTACTACTGTCTTATTAAGCTGTGTCCTTATTACTACTTCAACAAAATATTACTTTCACAAGTAATAATTATGTCTGGAAGCCTTCTATTAAAGAGAACGGTTAACAGTTGTGTTAAAAATGTCAGAAAAACCAATGTAAGGTTGTTGTAGATAGTGATGAAACATATTTCCTTCATATGTGCAAACTTTGATTTCATTGTCATCACTGGTAAAATGCTCATTAACTTTAATGTGGATGCTGTCTTATTGGATCTGTGTAGGTTATATAGCATATTTGGGTTTTCAGTTTGCTTGTTTTCAAAAGCTTAGACTGTGTAAGCATTGCAAATAGTTACATTGCTGACACAGACTTTGTTGTTGATTATTTGAGAAAAAACATATTATTTAAAATATTATGGTGCCATTTGCTAATAGAATCAGCACCTACTGGTGCTAGTAGTCTTTAAGTCCCTGTTGAAAAATTACAAGCACTGTCACATTTCTAGCCATTAGTATATAGAGGTGTCAAATCCACAGATACAAGCTGAATTAACAGCACACAAATAATGCACCCATTAGTAATGTAGGCAAAATCAAAACAAAAAATCTCAAATACCAAAGAAATTAAAGAGCTAACAAGTTGTAAGAGTTAAACTAACACTGGAAGTAAATTTTTAATGTCTGAGCTTTTGCATAGTAGGTTGCTAGTCTTCATGGTGTACAACCTGCTATGTTTACTGCCAAAACCCCTGCCTTGCTGGGGAGTAATGCAAAGTCAGCAAACCTCTGCCACCAGCAAACCAATCCCCCCCCCTACAACAAAAGAGGAAGTCAACTCTTGATGGGTTCAGTGTTTTAAGTCAGATCCACCCAGGCAGTGGCATCAAGATGGCAGTTTTACTGTACTTCTTTTTTACTAACAAGGTGAAATGTGGTAGGACAGCACAGTTTGAAAACCACAGTAAACAGGAACATACACCAGGCAATCCCAGTAAAATAACTTGTAAGTAATCATGTATTAATTCTGCTTAGTGGATGAGGCAGGAATCCTGTGCAAAAAATATTAAACAATCCTGAAGTTAAGGAGGGTATTATAATGCCTGTGCATGAAGGGATTGAGTTAAAGTTGCATGGGCACGTTTACTTCCAACACAGAGTAGATTTCAAGTGTGCTGCTGGGTAGCTCAGTAATTTTTTTTATTTCAATACAGTGCTTTGTGGACCATACATATTAAATCAGTGTGAGTTTGCATATGTTCAGGAAATAAAGAGGTACACTCATAGTGATGCAAAAGCCTTGTGGCATTATACCCAATCAAAGGCTCTCTATCATTGATCTTATGGAAATCACAAGGAATGCGGGACAGAGAAATTAATACTTTTTTTCATCTGGTTTAGCAACCTGAGTGATACATGCTTTATTTGCTTGGCTATGCAGTACAGGTATCATTGAAGACAGATTTACATTTTTATTTAAAAGTCTTTCAGGGATTCATTGTGTTTGCAGGGCATATCAAGCTCCAGGATGTGTTCTGGATGACCCAGTCAAAAGCCCTCTGGCACAGGATTTCAGCCATTTTTACATGTTGAACTTACAATGGTACAAAGTTTCTAGTACAAAGTTTGACCGATGAAAATAATTTTGTAATAGTTGCTTTTCAAAGGTGGTTATATGTGAGATATGCCTCAAAATACTGACTCAAACCAGAGAAAGAAATGTTAAAGTGTCAGTCTTTTGGGGACAGATTTGATATAATACTGCTAAATGAGATTTCAGATTTGTTATATTCTCTCATGTTTTCATGATATATCATTGTTTCTTCAGGTCCTAGACTCAATCATATTGGAATATTATCATTTGAAATGTTCCACTGGTATTGAATTCACAATTAAGGCTTAAAGGGAATCACACACAAGGAATAAAGCTTTTTTTACTGGAAGGGAAGAGCCAGACATTTGAAAGGGCCATGATCTGGTGATCCCTCCCAGAATGAATTTCTGTTCTGGGAATGGTGAAGCAAACAAACTCTGTCTTCTAATTTCTTTGGTAGATGTATGGATGTCAGATCACTCACCTCATGTTCTGTCCAAACTGCCTCCTTGGTTCTTATGTGCTTGGTATGTTGTCACTTTTAGAGGGCAGCTGGAGTACAGAACCAGGGGATATTTTCTTATTTTCTTTTTTTACTGATAAATTTAGAGAGTAAAAAATTAATTTAAAATAAAAATCACATATTACAGGCTTACTCTTGGCAACACAAATTTAATGATGGTGGCCAGTTAATTCAAGCTCTTTTTGTATTTTTCTCCTTTCCTGAGTTCCAATAAAATTTCAGCTCTCTCATGTAGTTTTGTCTGGAGAATGCACCCCGGACCATGGCTTATACTGTATGACATAATCTTACACTGTCAGCCGGAAATCATTTTACATAATACTGTCTGATGCATGTGGTTCTCTATACTGTGGATATTTCTTGATGTATTTCAGCTGTGGCAGACCCTATAACCAAATAGAAGCTGGTGATGAGACACTAAATAGAAATGATGCTACCACACACACCCTGAACAGAACAGGTAATTCTTTGTCTGTCAAAAACACCTTGTTCCTTCAAATCCAGTAATGAAAGGACAGACGTGCTTGTCTGTCATGAAGGGAGAACATATGTAGGTGAGGCTTTGAGGCTTCTTGCCTTTTTGTATGTATAACACGTACAAAATGCTAATGAAAAACGGAGTTAAAATATAAAAGAAATATGGTTTCCCTCATTTAACTTAATCAACAGAAGTAACAGCCCTCAAAATATTTTTACTCTTCAGTCCCTGGTCCCGTTTTTTACACTCTGCAGGGTATATGCCTTTGGACAGATTGTCCAGCTTCAGACCCAGCCAAGCAGCACATATGTATTATGAGTCAGAGATCCTGTTGCTGTTATTCAGAAGGTCATGGGGTGCCTTTCGTGGAATTGTTGCCGTTCACACACCGAGCTCTGTGATTTGTGTTGTAGATGATCCTGCGCAAGCCACCTCTGACTACGAGACCAACAACAGCGACAGCAGTGACATCGTGCAAAACGATGACGAGACAGATTGCTCCAAGGAGCAGACACGAAAGGGATCTGTCTGTAGGTCCTACACACCTGAGACCATCATCTTGCATCCCTTGACACCACCTGAGGTAGCTTGTCTGAGTCCCACTTGTGCAATAGACTGAGTGTATGCTGATATGGAGTGGGAAAAAGACCAAACCAAAGCTGAAATCTGTCAAAAACCCAACCCCCCCCAAAAAAAAACAACCAAACCATAGGGCTGTCTAAAGATTGTGATCATGGTTTTAAGCAACAATTGCAGCAGGAGGATTAACTTTCAAGAATTGAAAGGAACCATTGAAATGTTTGAGGGCCGCTAAGCACTGGCCGCTTATGAAACACCAACCATCTATTTTGATGGATAAAAGTTTGTGGATCTAGCATTAGGCATTTCTGAAATGTTTGGCCTCTGTGTTAGTTTCCTTTAAAGGGAATGGGGTTGAAAGGAAGATAAATGATCTTCTCTGAGTAGCAGCATGATAAACAGTGTTCCTGTTCAGCCACTTCAGCTTCTCAATGGGCTTGCAGTCTTCACTAATAATATATACTGTGGTCCTTATTGTAAAATAAATGAACACTGCTCTGAGGGTGCTGCAAGATATTATTATTGGTACATGTCTTAAACATAAGAACATTGCAGTATGGTGAACAAGTGCTGATACAGCTGCTGTGTTCAGCTGTAAGCTTGGTTGAGATGCAGAGGAAAAGCTTTGTTTAGTCACATTTTCCACAGTTCGTTGTACAACTGAATTAATAAATTGAAGTTGGCATGAGCTCTTGAAAAATTTACTGTAATCTGTTGGAGTTGGACATGCTGAGAGAAGGCATTTTGCTTGAAATGTTTTGGCATTTACTCATCTGCAGTTTCTTAGTAAAATGTAATTCTAGGAAGTATACAGAGAGAAATGTGAAAGGAGGGGCACAATCCATCTTTTATTTGCAGACTTGGAAAACAGGTAGGTTTCATTTAAGAAGCAAAAGTCTTCAGTTGGACTGAGCTCCATTAGCCTTGTTGGATTGTAATGAATGAGTCCTGATGGAGAAGTAGAAACTGAGAGCTTTCCCCTCTGCACTGCAGCAAATTTTACAATGAAGACAGATTCCCTTGGAAAAGAATGAATGATTCCCATGAGTGAATGAATGAATGTGTCTCATGGATAAGTTCAGACACTGATGTTTCATATACAGAATTTCCGATTCATTCAAGTGAAACACATTATAAAGGAGAGTGACTTGCTGCAGGGCTGGTAGAAATGAGGACATCTCCGCTGAGCTGAGTAAAGTACCATCGACTTACAGATGATGCTAATGGGATAAGAGCATAATGTTTTGCATGAGATGCTTCACTGAACTAACGCTCCTCTTTATTCTGATTTCTGGCACAGGACAAGCCTGTACTTGCTCCTGAGCCTCTGGTTATGGACAACCTGGATCCCCTGATGGAGCAGCTAAATAGTTGGAACTTCCCAATCTTTGATTTGGTGGAAAAAATTGGAAAGAAATGTGGTCGGATTCTCAGTCAGGTGAGAGGTATATCTTGTCTGCAGTGTCTGCCTTAGAATATTGACAGATTTAGACACAGTAGTGTTAAGACCCATTGTACTTACAAACTGGTCATCCAGTCATGATCCCTGTCACCTAATTCAAAGCTGACAATATGAACTCCATCTCACTACATTCCTGACTTTTAAATGTCTGTATTTTTTAATTTAAAAATGTGAAAGGGTAAACCACACACCTATTTTGCCTGCTGCCCTCTGGCCAGCGAGTTTACATAAACCTTTCTGAATATTCTCTTCTATCTGCAGGAGGTGCTGCCACCCCTTACTGAGCTCTGGGTGAAAGGATTTCTCATAGGGTACAGCATGGGAGGGCTAAACAGTAAATATATGCAAACTGGTGCAGGATATACAGAGCTTTGTTCTTCTTTTATACAGGAGATTTCAGTCAGGTTATGCAAGAGAGCAGGGTTTGAGGAAATGGGAGGAAAAATAGTCCTTGCTAGTCTAGTTTGCTAGTCTTTCTTTCAGTTATCAGAACTATCAGGGTTTTATTCCTTTCTGGGAGTTGAATCCAGTTACTGACACAGCCTGTCTCTACCCAGCAGGATTAGTGTCACTTCCATAATCACTTTCCTGGCTGAACTTTCTACTCTGTTATGCCCCTTTTCCTGGCACACTGACAAATTAGCCATTTTTTCTTATGGAAGTATTGAAGATTATTAAACAGGAAAGGCAAATAATTTTTATTATTATTTAGGGATGGAAGGAAAACAAGCCCAAGAGAATCTGAGTGAACCAGTACCACTTTACAAGGCATTATGCAGTGATGAGTGCTGGAGAGGAGATAAAGTTAATTAGTACAATAAGGGACAATTAACACCCCCCACAAACACAGAGGTTAGTGTGTCAGGGAGATCTCAGTGTAACAAGCACCAGAGAATGCTGTATCAAATCACGGTCCCTTGGTGGTTACCTATTATTCAGCTCTATTCAATTATCCAGTGGTCAACAAGGAAAACCATGGCATGAATTCAAATATATTCTGTTGTCTGCCTTTTAGTGTTCTGTAGCTTGGCAAGCAACATCTGTGTTTGACCAGCCTGCCAAGTCTCTAGGTTAATTTTAGAGAAATAGGCAAAGTGTGGCTGGATGTGGATATTGATATAAATTCAGTGATGGTTATTGAGACACTTTTGCACTAGACAGTGAGTTTGTGATTAAAATACTCTTCAGGATCATATTGGTCAGGGTTTTTTCTAATAGCATAGAATAATAATAGAATGATAAATTAAACACAAGGCCAGAACTTTCTTTTAAAGGCATGACTAATCAACAGTTTGGGTGATCCAAAACTTTTCTGGTTTTGCCTGGGTATCTCTAAAGAGTTTAAGCACTTTATCCAGTTACATGGAGTTCTGTGCCTCTGGGGACAATCCCCCTGTGCCTCCCTCAATTTGCTCTAAAGCTCCACACTCTCTTTCCCAAAATCTTCTTTTTGCACAGCTTCTAAGGATGTTATACACATCACAGTGCCACAAAATGAGGCCTGTAAAATAAAACAGAGAAGCTGTAATAAATAATATTTGTGATCAAAATTCAACATTTTCTGTAACAGCTGTTTATAATAACTCCCACTCCCTAACAGGAGAATGTAGCAAGTTCAGCCTTGTTCATAAAACATAGATCCTTTAGTTCTTTCTCCCACCTACTCAGATATTTCTTATGAAATTACTCTCAGAAATAAGGGAACAAAAATAAATAAATCTTTTTCTCCGGCCAAAAGTACTTTTTTTCTTTCTGTATTTTTTAAATCCTGAGATACTTTAAACAAGGGAAAACAATAGGTCTAATGATTTATTCTCTGTATCTTGATATTAAATGGACTCATCCATTAAAAAAAAAAGTAAATTAACAAGCTGAATTAACTATGTTTGTCTTGCTAGGTTAAATTTATGGGTTGGAACAAAGCAGAGTTGACACGTGCCTCTAGGGATGCATTCAGTTTAGAAAGCAAATGCTGGCTTAGCATCTTTAAAGCTGCTTGAGATGTCTGTTTCTTCTTTTTGGAATGTTAAATTGATTTAGACGTATAAAAATACCCTAAACCAGTCAGTGACCACAAAAGCATCTTTGCAAAGTACAGTGGCAAGCACTCTAAATGTGGCAGTAACAACTATGCATGATAGGATTTGGAGAGGAATGTACATTCAGTCTCACTTCAGTCACACTTAACACCCTTCTCACAGCTCCTATAAAACTAAAACCTGTGGAAATTAAACTTATTTGCCTTGGAAAGCAAATACCGTGAAAAAAGAATAGGCTAAAGTCAAGGTTTAGCTTTTGCTGCTGGGCCTATAAAGATGAGAAGTGGAGGTGCTCCTATGCTGGCAGTACAGGAGCAGTGTCGGGGCAGGGTGGCATCATTGCAGGGCCTGGGAGCTGGTCCCTGGGTGGTGCCAAGAGGATTGTGTGCTCACCTCACCATCACACATGGCTTCTGCAGAGAGAAACTGCAGATATGAAGGAGCGAGGGAGATCAATCCTTGGGGGATGGGATATTCCTGGGATCACCACAGCAGCTCTTGTGAGGAGCTGTGTTTGTCAGAGCCGGAGACAGGTGCCAGCCACTTCAAAGAAGCACACATCTGAAGAAAGCAAATACAGGAGACAAAAAAGGAATGCAAGAGGTTTGCCTGCAGACAATGAGAAGGGAATTGCTAATCTAAACTTTGCACGAGAGCCATTCCTGTGTGCCTGCAACAGCCAGGAGATGGGCTACATGTGAATAACAAACCCCGTTTCCAAACCAGCTTCCATTACAAATCATGCAGAAGTGCTTGTCCTTCTTCAGGCAGCACTGCCAGAAATATCTGAGTTATAAATGATTCATTCAAGCATTAGCAATCATGGCAGAGACAAGCAGCAAATGAAGGCTGGAGGGAAGGGGCAGTGTGGGGCACCCACTGCCAAGCACCTGGGGCCATTGGAGCCTCCCTGGGCTTGTCCCTGGAGCAGGGACCACACCTTGGCTGCAAGGGCACCGTGCTCAGCCCATGGGATTCTAACTCCCAGGGAGCTCATGAAAGAGGATGTGGGCTGGGAAGAACAGATTTAAAAAGACAGAAGCATTTTAAAATGTTTAATCCAGAGCAATGAATAAACAAAGGTGCACAGTTTTTCTTTTTTTTTTTTTAATGAAAGAAAATAGGTAGTTGACTTTGTGGAAGACATCAATGCCCTTTTTTCCTCCTTTTGACTTGCCCTTACCTCTGCCTTCTCTCCATTTTGTAAGAGAGAAAGACAGAAAAACAACCAAGATGTACAGATGAGTTTCTTGGCTGTGGAAGAGCTGTCATTCATAGCCATCACAGTCAGCTTTGCTTCTTTTCAAGTCTGGAATTACCCACCTCTCAAAATCCAAGGGAAGGAAAAACATGCTTTTATGACATGCTTTATTTAAGATACCTGTCCAGTACTGCTAGTACAGAACAGTAAGGTTTTGTCATGCAGAATAATATTTCTTTATGCTTCCTCTTTTTATACAGAAATGTAGTGATGGAAATAAGAAGCTTACATTTCACTGATACAAAACTAGAATGTAAGATTCCTCAGCTCTCTGTAGGTGAAATACTTAAGCCATGATTCCAGATAGATAAAAAGTGTCCTATGCAGATTCTAATTCAAATTATACATAAGGTTACTTTCTTCACTCTGCCTCAGTACAGGAGGGTCCCGTGGGGTTTTCAGAGAATAAAGTTTTGCCTTCTGTAGGCCCTACCTTTTATTTTAAGCTCATGTCTTCCAGAGCACAGTAAATTATGGTAGGAACAGAAGTAAGATCTGGGGTCACCAGCAGAACCACACAGCAGAACTGTCAGATATTGGTCATTAGAGGATCATCATAGATGGGGTCAGACATCACACTCAACCTGTCTCTGCATCATCACTGCCTGTTGTAGTGCTTTGCCAGAGTTAGTTCACATGAACGTTTTTCCTGGTAGGGAATGACTGTGAGGAAAGGCACAGGGAAGATCATTAATGCTGCAAATTCATATCCTTTTTTCCTGTTCTTACTGTAAAAATCCACAGCAGAGGGGCATTTGAAGTTTATGTTCATCAAACTTTAGGTGCAGCTCACAGGTCCCAATTTATATACATAATATACAGAAAGAAACATTTGTGGTTAGATGTTTGATTTATGTTCAGGTGTAAAACACAAAAGGTAATTTGGAACCATTTCTTATCATATAGCACTCATCAATCCAAATGTGCTTCAGACTGCTTGGCTCTAGGCAGTTCATTACCAGACAGATGGCATCAAAAGGACAGAACAGCTAACAGCAGTAAATAAATAAAGAAGCTGAAAGGCTTTAGGGTCCAATTTCTGAAAGAAGTGAAAAGGTCAGGCAGTGATTTTGCTGTGCCCCATTGTTTTGTATGTCAGGTTCAAACTTGTCTTCAGAGGTGCCCATTTTGCAGCAGCTGCTGTCTGCATTTCTGAGCATTCGTCTTTCCTGAACACCTCCTCACTGATCCATCTCATTCTCCCTTCCAATATATCCTCTCCTGGATGTTTGCAGTCATCTTTCCATGCAGGAAGACTTGAGGCAGCTCTGCTTCCTAAGCCACTTGCTGCCTCTGGAATCCTGTTTAGGTCATTTTTTCCATTTCACTTCCAAAATGAGAGCAAAGGAAAGGAGGTAATGCATAGAATCCAGATAGTTACCCCCTTTGTCAGTTTTCCCACTTTTCTGGGAAGTAAGTCAAGGATGCTCCTTGGAGAAGTTTGTGGGGAAATTTTTCCCAAGACACTGAAGACCTCTGAACATCATGTGTGTAGGTTTCTGAGGTGCTTGCAAAATTTCAGGGAGGGCATATGCCTGAAAGGAAGAGAAGAACATCTGGAAGGGTGTAATGAAGGAATGAGGAGGACTGTTTGGTACTAATAGCTTTTCTGTCTGGCTATGTAGCCACATTCCTATGGAAATGCAAATAGCTGCAGCTGTAGCTGGATCAGGTGAACTTCAGAAAATACTACTAGGAAAGCAGGTTTTCATGGAGTTATTTGACCTAAGGAGATTATATCTATTTTTTTGAGGTTTTCTGGTCTATTTGGCAACATGGGGTCTTTTATTTTCTTTTTTTCAGGTATCATACAGGCTTTTTGAAGACATGGGACTGTTTGAAACCTTTAAAATACCAGTGAGGGAATTTATGAATTACTTTCATGCCTTGGAATGTGGATACCGAGAGATACCTTGTAAGTAAAAATTCCCAGCACATAATGATGCTTCCTTAAAGTTTTGAGGGTTTTCCACACACTTTGGTATTGAAGCCTTTCTTCTCTCATTATAGCAGCTACTTTTTTTCTTCTGCTACATCATAACCAAATGGATGGTTCTCTAGTAAGAGGCTGGTGCTGAACTCCAGCCTCTCATGATTTGGGATTTTTTTCATGTATTTTGTGTTTCATGTTGTTTCATACCAATTCATGGCAAATTCACTCCAAGCCAGAAACCACATAAAGCCATCAGGTAAAGAACTGTTTACTGATGATTCAAGTGTAGCCCCGTGTCCCAACTGGAGTTTCTTGAAAAATTTACCCCTCAAAAGCAACTTGGACTTTTACACAGTAGCAATGCTATGCTACCAAGGGAGATGAGCTTTCTAAAACAAAGTATTCCAAGTACATGAGTGCATCCTCTTCTTCTGCAACTACATATTGATACTTTTTTCAGTGGGAACCATTTCTTCACTGAGAAACCTGTTTTCAGTGATCCTCAAATTATTTACTAATTCAAACTACTTCAACTGGAAAAGAAAGTTGTTTTCAAAGGGCATGGAGGGAGTTATTACTTCCTTTTTTAGCTGGCAGATAAGCCCAGTGTTGAGGAACACAGGAGATGCTGTTTTCTCTACGATCACAGAAAAATATATGAAACATCATTCTAAGAAGTCATATAGTCTCTCTGTCAAAATATTAAATACCATTTGGAACAGCTACAGTGGGAGGGATTTGAGGAAAGCTCCCTGAAATGCCTCCCAGACAGGTGCTTTGGACTCTTCTGGGAAAGCAAGAGACCCAATTTCAAATCTTTCCTTGTGTTTGAACCAGATCAGGGACTTGGAACAGCAGATTATAGCCTGAGGATATTACAGGTAGAAGTCCCACTATCTGTCTGTCCTACTGGAGCCATTTCTTTACGTTTAAAATATTTAACTATTCATGGTGTCTGGAATTTTTGTGAGTCTAGCCCTTTATTTAATTGTTTCCTTAGATATGTTTTGTTCTTAGTAGAGAGGAATATTTTGGCTAATACAAAATTAATTCACCTACCTGTTTTTCCTTTCTGTGAAGAGGTAAAACCCAAAACAACTCTCACGCTCTTGATAAAGTCTGCTTTGCCTCTGCTCGCTTGACTGGCACGAGATACCCACTAGATGGTGCTGATATCCCTCTGTCGGAAATATCTTCCTGTTTAACGGAGGGGTCCTTTTCTTTGCATCACAGATCACAACCGAATCCATGCAACTGATGTTCTACATGCCGTGTGGTACCTGACAACTCAGCCCATCCCGGGGCTGCCAACTGTGATTAATGACCACGGGTCAGCAAGCGATTCAGGTATATTTATGTGTGCAAGTGCTTATGTTGTATTCTTGAAGTTTCTGTCACAAAATTTGCTGTAAGAAAGCCAAGAATTGAGGATTGCATGCAGTACTTGTTATTGTATAGACTATTAAGTTCAGTAGCACGATGGATGTAGGAGGTGTTCGAGTACGTTTGTGTAACTTTGGAGAGAATGGAATTGGTCCTCCAAAACCTAATAATGATGTGGGAATGCAAGCCTTCGTTGTCACGTATAACAGCAGATCTTTGTTAACATTTGGGGAGTTTTTCTAGGCAAACTGTATTAACAGTGCTTTTCAATGCTACTTCAGAAGGATTTTTCATCCTTAACCCCTGCATTGTTTTGCTATTACAAAATTGCTGGGGCATGCAGGTAGTGCCGTGCACTTGCTGCTGCTTGGCTGTCATGAAGTGTTTTTTGCCTTTCCCCACTGCCTCTAAAGAGACTTGTTACCATTTGGCAACCAACTTGCAAGACCAATCTTCTGCTGCTTTATGATTGCTTATTATAGGAAACTATTCTTTTTGCATCTTTATGTTAACTTCTCCAGGTCAGCTGTAGCAACTACTGGAACTGTCTGTGTTTTATGGGAGTTCTCAGAGAGTCACTTTAAAGCAAGAGTTTTTTCTGCAGAAACTACTTCCATTTCTGCTCTTTTGTAGTTGTTATTGTTGTTTGTTTCTTTCTTTGATTGGTTGGTTTTGGTGTTTGTATGGCACATGCATATCATCTGTGAAACTCTTCATGATGTGTCGGTGGGGTGGGAAACATTTTTATTCCTGGAAAAATTTGTTTGCAAGGGTTGTTGATGTTTTTGTAGGTGAGGTGAAAAAGGTGGAATAACAGGGGTTGAGTCCTGCACCTTTTTGGTGTTTGTTATTTGAAAGACATTGTTAGACTGCATGCAACATCTATTCAAGCAGTAAATTAGCAAAGCATCTCACTCAGTCTCTGATAGGTGTGTTCAAGCTGCTTCAAAAACAGGCTGATAGGAGGATTATCAGCAAAGATTCAAAGTCTAGAACTTCGTATTGGACTAGTCTATATGATGACTTTGTATTTACTAGCCTAGGTGAAAAATTAGAGGAAGAAGTGCGAAGATCAAGCTCCAGCATGCCTGTGAATCCGTGTCTTAATGCTTGTAGGTTGCAGAGTTTGAGAACAGATTCTGCTGGATGGCTGGAATATCCCCAGGTGGGATCAGAAATGGTTACTTTCCAGTTGTTTGCCATATTGCACTGGATCATGCACACTGTATCAGAAAGCCTGGAGGCCAGGGTGCTTTCACTCTGCTGCTATGTGTTGTAATTTTGCTCCTTCTCTCCCTGCTTTGTTGCTTCTATCCGTTTCAGTAAGTCACTGAAAAAAAGCGGTGAGGATGTTTTTATTGTTTTAATTTATTTATTTCTGCTCAGATTCTGACAGTGGAATCACTCACGGCCACATGGGTTATGTGTTTTCGAAGACATACACACCTACAGATGACAGCTATGGATGCCTGGCTGGCAACATCCCTGCCCTTGAACTGATGGCTCTTTATGTAGCTGCAGCCATGCATGATTATGATCACCCAGGAAGGACCAATGCCTTTTTGGTAGCAACGAGTGCTCCTCAGGTAAATGGATCTCAACCAGTGTTGCTGTTAAGTTTGGAGTGTCTTGATAACAGCTTTTCCTTGCCAGTGGTGCCTGTGGCTTCCGTTAAGCACAAGTCTGCCAAATATTTTGAAACAGCTTGTCAAAGTGATAGAAATAATCACTTCACTTGGGGATTGCTGGTGAGAGTCTTCTTACACACCCTCAGTTAGCAGAGCTGTTAAGAAAGGTACTGATAAACTCTGTCAGGAGAAGCTAAAGCTCTGCTGACTGATACAGAATCTGTAACTGTGAAGTAAGGGAAGAATTATTCTACCCAATAAGGCACAGAAAGATTAAAATAAAATGTATAGTTAACTGCACCTTGCAAGTTAGCCTGTGCATGATCATTCCATATTTTCTTTCTATTGAATGTGAGCAGCTACTCTCTTTCATGAAAGTATTTTTTCACTATACATCTATCAGGGAGGAGGGGAGTGTGGAAAATAATCTCAGTTTTATAAATGTAGACTTGAGGCTTGCGTAGGGTTACACAGAAGATGCTGCCAATGCTGGGAGTTGAATTCAGCAATTCTGAGTCACTTTTTATTATGAGATCATCTTTCCTTGCTTTGCATAGCTGACCTGCCTGGCTTAAGCATACTGTACTGAAAAATACTTCTATGGACAAGGAAAGAGAAAAGGAGAGTTTAATGGTGACAATTGGGTAGGGATGCAGAAATTCTAGATTTACTCCACAGCCAGCATCCAGACTTGCTCTGTATCAGTTTCTGTCTATAGACTGATAGTAATACTTCACATCGTTGCAAAAATCTTTTCTGTGATACAGAAGTTTGATACTCTGGCCAGGTAAATAAATTGATAGAAGACGTGTACTATCCTTAAATCTAATTTTATGAAACGAGTGCTTTGTGGTTGTAAAAATAAAAAAATAATTAAAAAAAAAAGGAAGTTACATGATTAGCTTTAAATAATGTCCCTAGTCTGAAAATAAATTTATAAGAAAAAATCAAATTCATCCTGTTATTTTTTGGTTTGTTGCATTTTTGTGGGCTTTTTTAAAACCTGATATCACCTGAAATTTGATGAACCTGTATTTGGCTTCTAGGTTTTTTCTTCTTTTATATGACAGGCAGTATCAACTTCCAGTAACATTAAAGTGCTGCTGTGTTAAAAATCTGCCTTCAGGAGTTGGGCCTGGGTAGCAGAATATCTCAGATCCTTACAGTGCAGTTAGGCAAGATGGTCTGTGAAGCTGAATTTCTTCAGCAACATGTACTCTGGGATAAAGAACAGATTCTATATTTTAGGATAGAATTGAATTCTTTTGTCTCTAGGTGACATAAAAATATAATTGAAGTGAAAGCCACTGGAATGTATGTGTATATATTTCTGTAAAAAGTTAAAAAACTTGTATCTATCTTATATGGAAGCGTATTTCTGAAAGCTTTTCTTTCTATAAACCAAATTGTCAAAAGACTGAATGCTGCTGAGGTGGAGAGATTTCCTGGATGGTCGTTGTCCCCTAAAGTCCATTTTCTACATCCTTCTTTAGCTTCTGAGTGAAATTGCCATCTTTATGAGAGTTATGCAATTTGTTTTAGTAAAGATTTCCCCTGTTTTGGATTTTAGCACTGAGAAATCTGTCAGGCTGAGTGTGTGTTGTCAGATTGCAAACTGGAATTTTGCTTGTGTCTGTGTTTGGAATTGATCCGACACAGACACAGCTGTCGGGTGCAATTACCAAAGACAATAATCCCTGTTAACTGAGGTTAGCTCTAAGAAACAGGGAAGCACACAACTCTATGTTATATTAGTCATTAATCTGTGGCCTGAAACAGAATAATCTGTTGTCATATGATACAATTCAGTCAGGAAGCAAAAACCTTGGCGCATAAAAGACCCAGATTTTTTCAAATCAATCTTTCAATAAATCATCACCATCACAACAATGCCGGTGTCTGTTATTAATCCTGCCCAAATCATATCCTCAGACCTTGAGGAATTCTTTTAAAAAAAAAAAACCTCAACAAACAAAATGACCAAACCTGAACCTCCCTTGAGCATCACCCCCATGTCAATCCCATTTTTGCACTGCTGTGATTTTGCTAAGATGTTTCTCAGCTTTCCATTGCCCTCCTTGCTTCCACAGGCAGTGCTGTACAACGACCGCTCCGTCCTGGAGAACCACCACGCCGCTGCTGCCTGGAACCTTTTCATGTCGAGGCCAGAGTACAACTTCCTGGTCAACCTCGACCACGTGGAGTTCAAGCATTTTCGCTTCCTTGTCATTGAGGCAATTTTGGCTACTGACCTGAAGAAACACTTTGATTTTGTCGCCAGATTCAATGCCAAGGTAAGGTTCAGGTTTGGGTTTCTGGTGGATGGTCAGAAAAGATTGTGGTTTTGGCCACATCACAGCGAAAATTCTAGAAAGGCTGCTGTGTTGCTGTTTCCTCTGATTGTCCTTTTGACTGCCGTAAAACATTCTGTTCAACAGTACTGTGACCTTTCTGTTGTTTTTTACTTATTTAAATTTAGTGGCACAGCTTCTCTTATATATGTTTAGTGTTTTCAGAAAGTGGTTTAAGGCTAAAGATATTATGGACTATTTGAGTGTAAATCCCACTTACATCCTCCTTTTCAACATTGTTTTCTTGTTCACTAGTACTTAAGACCTATTAGCAAAAGACTCGAGGGAAAATAGTCAAAGGTTTTTACGAATTTTCATAGTGGCTAAATACTTCCAGTGAATTTGTATTGATTTAATCATTCTGCTATATTGTCAAGGCATGGAGATCATAACAATTGTGAAATTATAATTTCAAATGCAGGGAAGCATGATCTTTCTTTCCTATTTTCTTTCAAATGGGTAAACCCCAGAGAAGGGTCACTAAAGATCTTTCCTGCACAGTCCATTCAGTGAGTATAAAATCAAAACTCTGGGAGAAACTATTCTTAAAATTCATTTACAGTTTCAACCTAACTTATTGGAAACGGCCTCCTATCAAGTTACTTTAATAAACTCCATCACCCATCAAAGCTGTTGGCATGTTAACTAGGTACCTGCCTTTGGAGCTACCACTGCCTTCTTATTCCTTGTGAGAAACACCAAGAACAGTGTGTTTCTTATCCAGGACTAGGACCTCCTAGCTGATTTGGTGGTACAGATAAAATATTTTCTTGTGGTATGACTTTGGATGGACCGGTATGCTGAAACTTTGAAGTCTCCAGATGTACAACTGGTTTTCTTTTCTATTTCTCTGTAACATTTCTCTCTACATTAGGCTTTAAGAAGCTGTAAAGAAAGACCTTAAATTATTGTCCAGGGTAGACAGAGAACTGATTTCTAGATCTGTAAAAGTCTGAGCTTCTTCTGTACCCCTGCTAGTCATTTCCCAAACATCCAGTAATGTCAGGGGGGGTTTCTTTAGCTCTTAATTTTAAACTCTGGGATCATTTTCATTACCCTGATTTCCTCATAAAGTACTGAACAATATTGCCAGATTATTGTGTGTCAGGGCTACAATGACAATAAAGGAATTTAGGCTGTCTGAATACATCCTTTGAATTTGGCAGCTTGGACCGAAACCATCACTTCTGTGAACATAAGTAAGGAATGAAAAAGGACAGGCTAAACCAGTGATTAGTGTGGTTTTGTCACAAAGATTAAATGTCTTAACTGTGGAAGAGGACAAGCTTGGCCAAAGTACTAGGTGTAAACTGTAGATATTGAAAAATAAACTTGTCTTAAATCAATCAGTCAGCACAATGCTAGGTGTTGTAACCAAGCAAGGTGATGCCTGAGACTGCAGATAAATAGGAGAACAGCCACATCCTGCCAGCTCACTATCGATTTGAAAGGACATTTATTAACCTCCTTCTTTCTCCTTATTGCTTGAACAGTCAAATGGGCATGCATGGACTAAAAGTGGAAGAGAAGGTGCACATATTAACCAGTGCTGGTGACTGAGTCTGGTTTTCCAGCAGTAATCACTGCTTCAAAAAAGAGATTATTTATGTTTGGCTGGCAAAAACTGTTTTGTACCAACATGGACTTAGAGCAGTCCTAAGATGTTCGTGTATGGGGTGAAGGTGCTGTAACTGAGAAATTAAGCTCTGAATGATCCCGTTATTGATTAGGTTCCTGAACCATAGTTTAGTATATTGAGTCTGTGGTCAGAGTGACACTTCTGTACTGAAGTCAGTGTAATGTAATCATTGTCACACCGGAAAACTTGCAGTCTGGAAAGCACCACCACGAAATAGTGAAGGAAGCTCGCTGTCTGACACTTTGATGGTGTTGATGCATTGGAACACTCGCTGCTCTCTGACATTAATTATATTGGACCATGTACACCAAAAGCAAAGCCCTCATCACGTGGGCTCACTGCTCTGCTGACAGAGGATGTGGAAGTTCCATCCAGTCACAGCACAACAACTTTCCATCCATTTTCAACTATTGCAAGCTTGACAATTAAGGCTTGTGATTCAAGGAGGGATTTGAGCTTTGGAAATTATGTGGACAGTAGAAGTTATCCCCTACCACACTAGGAGATATTTTAGGAATAAAGGCTGAGATGGGAAAATGTGGCTAATGGCAGTGAAAGTGGTATTGCAGACCTTTTGGAAATGTAAAAGGCTGAAGTGCTCAATGCTTTTGCAGGCTCAGTCCATGTGACTAAGACCTGGCTTTGTGAATTCCAGGTCCCTGGGGTGTGCAAGAAAGTCGGGACTGGTGAAGACTTATCCTAAGGGAATGGCATTGGATAGGAAGCACTTGAACAAACTGGACATAGACAAGTCCATGGCACCTGATGGGATGCAACTATGTGTGTAATTACCTGATAGGCAGAGTAAAGCCAAAGGGGCCAGACTCTTCTCAGTAGTATTTGGTCACAGGATAAGAGACAATGGGCACAAGCTGGAATACAGGAATTCCCATTTAAAAATAAGAAAATACACGTTTCCTCTGATGGGGATTGTACGTTGGAAGAGGTTGCCCAGAGAGGTTGTGGAGTTTTCCTTCTTGAAGATATTCAAAATTAAATTGGATATGATGCTGAGCAGCTTGCTCTAGCTGGGCCTGCCTTGAGCTGGGGAGTTGGACTAGAGTATTTCCAAAGGTACCTTCCAACCTTAATCTTCCTGTGATGCTTTGATTTTGTTGTGAGAGGTATGGGAAAAATAGCAAAAGGGAAAAATAGCAAAAAGGAAAAAGGTAGGAATAAAAGGTGAGTTCTTGGGCCAAGAAAGTTTTGACTTAATGTCAACAGCTCAGATTTTGAGTTTCTAGTAAATATGCTATGTTTATATATTGACCTATGAACAATAAAATTCTAGCCTCACGGGTTGACTATTCTCACTTTCACTGTGTTAACAAATATTTTAGTACCCCTGCGCTAATAACTTGGTGATTTTTTGTTTTGTTTTGTTATGGTTACAATTTCCTTTGTAAGAGAGTGCATATTCCTCTGTATAAAAATGTGCAAAGATGGTTTTCAGCTTCGCTGGCTGGCATCTTTTGGGGGTGTTTCCCTGATGTCTTCTGAAGAGGTGTGACTTGATTCTATGATCACACATTGGTCCAGAATCAGATGTGTGAATAAACAGTAAAATGTAACTAGTTCTGAGCACTAAATAAGACCACTTGTTTCATCTTCCTTTCTGGACTAGGTTGGGAGTTATACTTAGCCCAGTCAAACTTTTGCTCACAGAAAATTAATTTGTTTTTCGTAGCATATTGCATAGTATTTTTATTTTTTTTCACAGGCTGATACGTAAGGAATTAGACCTAAGGGACCTAAGCACTGCATTGTTTGGTATAAAACTTTGAGACTCCAAATAAAATTTAATTCAGGAATTTTAGGGCTCTTGGAACATTTGGATTAGATCTTATTTTGAAAACAAAGCTGGGAAGAGTTCTGAACAAGTGGGAAGTTGCTGCTTTGTCCCTTCTGAAATGCAGCCAGAGGAAGCATTGCTGCTGCAGTGTTTTTGTACAATAACTCTTTGGCTGAGCACTTCCCCAGAATGTGTGGAATATAATTACCACTTGTCTTTGAGAAGAATCACAGTCAGTTCTTCACCTGTAGCAGGACTTTTAACCTCCAGCTAATTCCAAACTCTGGGGAAAGGAGCTGTGCTCACTGGGCATTCTGGTGTCTCAGGAGAAGTTCATGGAGAGCTTGTGGAAGTCCTTCAATTTATTGCCTAGTGATCTCCAAGCAAGAGGAAGTCCCAGGTTCTGCTCCCTACTCTCTGGGCAGTTCCATGTGTTTTGGATACACATAATCACTAGATAAAATACATAAATAAACATCCCAGGTCATAGGAACCCGTGGAGGGAGTTTCCAAACCTCTAATCTTCAGCTACCCTTTGGTAAAATGACTTGTTTTATTTAGGATATAGATACTGGTCTTTTAGAAGACAAATAAGTTTTGACTTCCTTGTTGCTGGTTAATTTGTCCTTTAGCCAACATGCTGAGGAGGTATGTACTGCTAATGAAACACTTATGTGGAACTATCTTTGCAAAACCAGCTCCCTCGACATCTTTGAGCTGTAGACTGAGTAGCAGTCTGGTATGACAGCAATAAATAAAACACTGTTCTGGTGTCACCTTGGGGGGTTCACATCTTGTGGTGCCTCTGTCAGGGCATCCTGGGGCCGCTTTGAGGGACTGGGGGACTGGATTTCCAGTGGAGTGCAGAATCAGGGAAAACCCAGACTGGATTTTGCCTGGAGTACAGAATGGGGGAAAACTCAGAGTGCATTTTATCTGGCATACAGAATGGGGGAAAACCCAGACTGGATTTTGTCTGGAGTACGGAATGGGGGAAAACCTGGACTGGATTTTTCTGGAGTACAGAATAGGGGAAAACCCAGACTGGATTTCCCCCCAAAAAAAAAAAAATTTAAAAAAAAAAATGAAGGATTGGACTTCATGATCTCAGAGGTCCTTTCCAACCTGGCTGATTCTGTGATTCTATGAAATAATTTCAGCCATACTAGATTAAATAGGGAAATAAGCTTGTTACCTGCGTCTTCACGCTGCAATTAAATCAACATGGCATTTGATGGTAATTTATCTTTGTACACCAATTAGATATTAACTTCTTGGAAAATGTCATGGAAAGATTGCACTTTTTGGTTGTCCTAGCAAATACTGATTTTCCATTATTCATCTCAATGCTCTTTGGTTTTCACCTGTTTTTTTTTTTTTACATATTGCCCTACAGCTGATTGTTAATTTCAGCCTGGGGTTTCGTTTGTGATTTTGTTCAAAAGCTAAATATATTGTGCAATATCCCAGGGCTGAACTTCCTCTGTGGATGCATCCTTTTGCCCAGGATTACTGTCATGGTTTTCTTTTTTCTGTCCACTAGGTGAATGATGATGTTGGAATTGACTGGACTAACGAGAACGACCGCTTGCTGGTTTGCCAAATGTGCATCAAACTGGCCGACATAAACGGGCCTGCAAAATGCAAAGATTTGCATCTGCAGTGGACAGAAGGCATCGTCAATGAGTTTTATGAACAGGTAAATAAAAGCGTGTCCACAGTGGTATCTGTTGTTTGCATGTCTGGTGTTAAACAGCCCTGGAGCATGATAATGCTGGTGATAAGTAAAAAATACAGAGATAGGGGAGAAGAGGATGGCTAGAGTTAACACTAATCCATTCTTTTGCCGGACCAGTAAAACTCCCTTGTCACTGAAGCTTCTGGTGTGTCCTCAAAGACCTCTGATGATGATATTTGTACAAGGCTTAATTGTTTTAGTCTATCCATACAGTGGTCATGGTGAACAAATGTTCCATTCCTCTTTTTTTTTGTTGTTTTCAGTCATCACGTCTCCCTTTCAGTGTTCTTTCATGCAAACTGGCTTTTCATCCTTCCTTCTAAGTCCTTTCAAGATATCAGCCAGTTCTCATGGCTCTCTTCTGCACTCACTCCAGGTGTCTCACACTTTTATTGACACGTAGTCTCCAAAAGTGGACACAACATCCTTGTTGAGATGATCTAAACAGAGCAGAGGAATTATTTTAGCTTCCCCGTGGGCCACATCTCTGTTCACACACGCACAAAACCTTTATGGTGCTGAGCACAACTGTAACATTGACTTTCAGTTTATCACAAACTCCCGACACATTGATCCTGACTCATTTGTTATTTTTTAAGACAACACTTCCAGCTTTCAGAAGGTTTGTCAGTACAACTGCACTAATTATGCAAGGCTCTGCTGATGGTAGCACAAGGAAGGAGGACAGCCACAGATTGATTTACCAAGACCTGGGAGTACAGCCAGGCACTGGTCCTCTCTTTCTAGGTGTAAGGGAGCCCTTAATTGAACCTTTTCTCATTATAACCTATTTAGCCCTGCTGAGTGCAAGGGTCAGGGCTGTTCCCACACTATTCCTCTGTTTCCTGAGTGGGAACATATTTTGAATGGGCTAGTTAGATTAAACTCCACATCCTGTCTTTTCCAGATGAAGCAAACAGGCAAAATTACTGAACCAGACATCCCATAGACTTCTTGGGGAGGCTGTGCAGTAACTTGTAGTCACAGACTAATCCCTTTTAAAGCCTTTTCAGCTTCCTTTAAATTTCCTGCACTTACAGTTTGGAAAAAAAACAAGCAGGATTTACTGCTGTCTTCTGGAGTATGTAAAGAAGTGGGAAAAGGGACAAAATTCAGACATTGACCTGAAGCTCCTTCATTTACTGGAGATCTCCTGAGGAAAAAAAAAAAAAAACACCAAAAAAAACAATGAACCTTACGCCTATTACAAATGTAGTTGGTTCCATTTTTCTTTTCATTTTTTCCTTAAAGAAAGGGAGTGTGTCCCAAAACAACCTTCATCTCCCAAATTTTCTTTCAGGAAATGCTTTTCTTCTTCGTTACAACTGTCCAAATGAATTGTACTTCACAATTCTGGTGATGATCATACCTTATGTGGGTGACTGCTGCATGCAGACAAAACCTGTTAGTTAGATGTAATGATATGCCTTTCCTTTGATCAAACATAAATAGTGTCAGAGGGAAGTAACTGCTCTAAGTGTTGGATAGTGAATTAAGCTTCAGAGGATACATGTGTGGGAAGATACCATATTATCTGTTCCACAATAGGAATCTGGGTTATTTTCCATCATTCAGAAATGGGACTCAGAACATTTTCTTTTTTGGATTTGGACTTACTTTTGGCATTAAGAAGGATCAGTTAGATTCTCAATTCATTTAACCTAGGTTAAAATCTGTGTTTCTTTCATGTGATATGCTGCAAGAGGTGTATCAAACCATGTTCACCATGCTTTTGATCATCAGATTTTTTCTGAGAAGGGAAAAGTCTTCATATTCTCATTTCTAAAAGGGAGAATGTTATGGAAAGTTTGAATTTCCCTGGAATTATTATCAAAAAACATACATATGTAAATTCAACCTATGCTGTGAAAATCATAAAATATCTTTCTTTTAATAAACTCCAATTCATTTGAAGAATTTCACTCCCATATAAATAAAACTCTATTAAAAATGTGTTGTATGGAAATATCCAAAATCCAGTGTCATATTGTTACAGGAGGTTTCCTTCTCTTCCCTTCACATGCTCAGCATACTTGTTTGAAGACAGGTTAGACGTATTAAATAGAAACAAAAAACACACTGCAAGACTTTTCACATAATAAATCATGTTTTAACAGAATATGAAAAAAGAACTTGTAAACATTTCAACAACCAGCATTCTTCCCACTACTGACAGCTTCCAAACAGGAAATCTCACATATGCTGCTGTAAAGAAGACCAAGCTGCCACCTCTTCTTAATTTGTTTGCTATTTGAAGAATGGATGGCATGTTTCAGTGTTTTGTCAACAATAGTATTTTGTGTCTAATGATTGAACATAACATTTAGGGGTGGGTTATTAAAAAAGCAACAAACAAAACACAAGGAAGTGAGCCATTTACTGTACATGCTCCAAAATGTAGCTCTCATTCTTAGGCCTTCACCAAATACAGATACAGACGCAGTTTTGACTAGATACAAAGTCCATGACTTTTGGGAAATTTACTTTACAAGGAGATAAATCTGTAAAGTGATGGAAACTGAAAATGTATCTCCAAATTCTAAACTATATTCTCAGATATAGAACTCTGTATTGTATTGAAGCATTAATTTATATATCAAGCTTGATTAGGTAAATTAGATTTTTTTCTTGGAGAGATGGCATCTGGTCTTGTCATGTCTACTCAGCTGACAACTCAGTGATGTCACCAGAAGCTTTGCTGTAAGTGTATCAGATTTGGTTCTGCAATAAAGTTTTACTTTATTTACATCATGAGAGGAGAAAGAAAAAAGTCTTCCTCTACCTTCTCTCTACCCTCTCTCTCCAAGAAAAGCTAACAAAAAGCTTCATGGGAAAGGTTTACTGCTTTTGAGCAATCCTTGCTTTCATAGGGATCATTCTAATAGTCCCAGGAAACTAATACTTATGACTCAAAACCCAGATCTCCATGCTATGTGTAATAATAATAATAATGGCCCATCTTCGCGAACGAAGATTTGGGGAAAGGTCTTTTACCTTTCCAGCCTGCGCAATGGATTTTTTAGGTGAGAGACACAGCCTGCGCTGAACTGAGCCCACCCTTTAATCCTAAGGTTCATCTGCCGGGGCCAAGCAAGCTTGGACAATGGCAGTGAGGTCCTCAGGACGTAGGTTTGTTTAGAGTGACCTTCTCATAGATGGATGGCCTCACAGGCCTAACGGACTCCATCTGCCCGGGGGACTGGCTGGATTCGAACCTGGGTTGCAGAGGTGAGAGTCCTGCACGCTAACCACTAGGCCACCAGGGGTCCCCATGCTATGTGTAGTAAGGAAAAGATTAGTAAGAAAACTAGTTCAGTGAGATAGCCTTTGCTTGTAGAAGTTCAGTCTCATTCCATGTAAACAGGTGGCTGACTACAAGGTTACTGGGAACTAAGAATCACAAAATCAGAAGGGATGTTTTTTTAAATAATGCGAAGAAAGAAATAAAATAAAAATTTTCAAATTTTCACACTCACAATGTAAAGTACAGGACAAGAGCAATGGGCAACATTCTACACAGCCATCAATTCATCCTTGATCAAAAACATCCTTGATCAATTCACACTGTCAGTAGTGGGTCCTGTCACAAGAAAAGAGCTGTGACTTTGATTAACCATTTGACATGATGGCACTGTGGCAATGTCATGCTGGCGTGCTATGGAAGTGGCATTGGAGTTCAGTTGTTTTTCTTTCATCATTTTTAATTGGTTGGATGTGCTTTACCTTTTTATCACACAGTTTTGTTTCATTTACTTCAGAGAAGTTACTGCTCTTTTCCATCTCCAGGGTGATGAAGAGGCCAGCCTGGGCTTGCCAATCAGTCCTTTCATGGACCGCTCTGCCCCTCAGCTGGCACACCTCCAGGAATCTTTCATCACTCACATTGTGGGACCACTATGTAACTCCTATGACTCAGCGGGGCTGATGCCAGGAAAGTGGATAGAAGATAGTGATGAATCAGGAGACACTGATGAGCAAGAAGAGGAAGAAACAGCGGAAATGGAAACTTGTGAAAATACTGAATCCAGTAAGTTGTTCACGCTTATATCTTTCAACAGAACAAGTTCCATATTGTGACCAAAAAACTAAGCAGAGACTGTGAGCTGGTCAGGTTCAACACAGGCCTCTCCAGAGTGACAGTGAGTCTGTGCTGTCCTTGGAGACGCTGGCATGTAGCCAGTTATGTTGGTAATGGAGATGCTCCATGGTTTCAGGACCTGTGCAGTTCATATCTACTATACATTTCTACCTTCAGTTGAGGTTTCTGGTGGTGGATCATCCATCTCTACATGAGGGCTTTTTAGACTTTTTCAGGACTGGTGTTAGTAGACTGCAACAATTTCAGTTGAATAAAGGATGATTTGGAGAAAATTTTTCAAGGAAAACACTCACCATTTCCATTAATTACTATGGCATGAGGGTCTGAGGTGCTGGTGCAGTAAAAGAGTTTTTAGCAGGGGAAGTATTTTAATGCAAACCTCTCCAAGGTAATGTGTGGAGAAGAGTGATGAGAGAATTGGCTCTGAGCGTGGCTGTGTTGTGTGCTGGGAGCTGCATCACTTGGCCCTTCTGGCTAATCAGTAACTAAAGCTGATAGTTTCCTGCCTCTCCTCCAGAAGGAACACGGTGCCAGTACTTGTCATACTGAGAGGAAAGCTTTTTACTTTGAAAGGAGGTTCCAGGCACTCATGGGAAGTGATCTTTAAGAGAAAAGGCTGCAACTGTAGACCTATTTCTTTTATCTGTTTAATGCTGCATGCTTTACCTTTTTATTTCTTTCACGTTCTTTCTCCCTCTGAATTTTCTACTATGGTTCTTTTATTTCCTTCCTCTAGGTCATCTTCTTCTCTCTCCTCTTCTAGGAAGCACCAGCCCTAAGTGTGCTAGTGAAATATCGATAAAGAGCTTTTTCTTTTAACAGCCTCACTTTCTCTGTTCTTTCCCACACGTTTTCATGCCCTCCATTACCTGAATATCATCCCTGTTTTCTGCTGAGGAAACTGAGAAGCAGAAAGATTTGATGATTGCAATAAGTCACACGAGCAACTAAAGCCTATGTCTCCTGATGTACAGAATTAACCTTTTATCCCTAGTAAAATCCAGAGGAATATAGTTTGTATTTAAGAAATCCTTGCTGTTGTTCACACACACTTGCATGTGTGTTAGGTTTAGCAGGTTCTCATGCACTAAAAATGTTGAGAACAGCAAACATTAAGTAATATAAGACACACACAGGTTGATTTTAGCACCTTATAGTCTCTCAGTTTTGTAATAGCAGGCAGAGCCACATGTTTGTGGCAGATTGGCCTTTATGGAATTGCCTACCAGGAGGAAAGTGTATGTGATAGGTAACCAACACAGACTTCAAAGTCTGAAATGTTTATTGCTGTATTAAAAAGAAAGATGAAGGGTGTTCTCATATATCCACTGGACTGTCTCACCTTTAAAATCCCCAGTTTCCTTTCATCTCATATCTCTGTATACTTATCTTCTGTATCACCACTAGCAGAGTCCAACTATGCTTTTTTCAGGTTAAAAGCACTGATCTTTATTAACTGTTGTCACATTGAAAAAAGACCATTTTTAGTTGATTTCTGTTTTCCTTTTTAGTTTTTTCCTGTTTTCTTTTTCACATTCTACTCTGCTATAGAACTTTACTAGTCAGCCTGGTGTTTTTAGGCTACGGTTTTCAAAACTTTAAAAATGAATGTATCAGAAATTGTGAAATATCCAACAAATTCTTCCTACTTCCTTCTTACCAAATGTAGGCTGCTAATCTTCACAATCATGCCAATGTGTTACAAACTGTTTTCTTCAGGTTCCCTAAATTCTCTGTGACTGTGGGTCTGAATCAGGAATCTGTGACATATTTTGTGTCAATATAGGGGGGGTTACAGGTAGTAAGAAATTTATATAATGATCAACAAAATTTTGGATGTTCTAAACTTTCTCAGTGAAACAAAATAAAAGGTTGAAATGTCAGATGCATAGATATGAAGAGTTGTATAGATGTTAGTAAAAATCTTTTTCTTGGTGGAAATGCCTTTCAGGCAGATAGAAATATAATTGCAGCAGAAAACACTTCGACTAGGTCCTGATAATTCACTGAAGCAGTTGACATAAATTTAAGAGTTATAAAACCTTAAGGTAGCTTGAAATAATATTTGTTACTGCTCAGGAGCATGTACTTTCACTGAAGGTCTCATGCAAGTAGAAGAATGAAACAATCTCGGTCTTCAGTGATTCAGACAAATTTTAACACCACAGCAACTGCTCAGTGGTGTCTGCAGAGAGCAACAAGATGTGGGGTCACTCAGGAAACCCAGGAGAGAATGTCCTGCTTGAGGCATTGGCAGGGTAGGGGCTTCTTATTAGTGCTAAACCTGAAGGTTTCCTACAGGGAACCAAGGGCTTTCTAATGAAGGATTGAGCTGGATTTGGTCTGTGCTCAGTGAAAAGCTCTTTGTTTCCAGTTCAAAAGCTTCAAGGGCTAAACGTTTTGGATCCTGACACAGACATACTTTAGGCAACCTGCAAATACTAATCCACGCAAATTTATTTGGTACAAAACATTCCTCTACGTCACATTCTTTAAAAAAGAAATCAGCAGTTGTCTTTGGAGGGGTTGTTATTTCAGTTCTGCGACTGCCAGTGGCACTGTTAATGACCAGGGAAAATTTTCCAGCTTTGTACTGTTAAGGAGTTAACAATCTGTGTTGGACAGACTATATTGACAGAACAAAACACCCTTCAGACAGCAAAACACTTGTAGTGCAGCTGTGCCAGGAGCCATGAGAACCACCAGTGACAAAAACACTTTATAGGTTAACAGCAGGGGACTGATGCTTCAAAATAAGACATTGAGCTCCCTGATAGTGTTTGGCTATATGAATACTTCTTCAGTGGTGAGACTGCTGCCAAAGCAATGTTGTGCTAAAGCTTCAAGGTCACCTCCACTGCAATGGTAGAATAGTAGATCTCTGAAAACGGAACATAGGAGTGGGTTCCCTCCTTTGATCACTAATGCTTCATTAGTAACCCTACATTCATCATCCTTCTACAGCTCAGCTCAGAGGTAAAATGTGGAGAAAACAATTCTTTTTCCCTCAGACAAACAGCAGGAATCCACTGGGTGTGGGGAGGGCACAGAATTTAATAATGTTTGTTATGAAGGAGGCTGATCAGAGTCTTTAAGTACTTGATATTAAATGAGCAGAAACAGCTCAGCAACACGCTTTATGCATAATCATTCAAGCACCAGATGCCTCTGTGAGCAGCATAGTCAGGCACAACATGCAACCTGGGATAGGATGAAGCTGGGGCTCAAACTGTGCAGGAAACCAGTTTGCTTTCCCAAAGGTCTGGAGAGGTGTAGCTTTCTGAATTTTAAGACAGTTTGAATTTGTGGTTTTAAAATTCTGTTAGTCCAGTTCCTATGTGTCATAGTACACTCTGTCTACTTCCTACACCTTCAGTCCCTTTTCCTTCTCTCACAGAAACCAGTACATTAATGTCACGTGGTGTTTTACAGGAAAGAAGAAGTTCAAGAGGAGGAAAATCTACTGTCAGATCACTCAGCACCTGCTTCAGAACCATAAAATGTGGAAGAAAGTAATTGAGGATGAGGAGAGGTTAGCTGGGTCAGAGAAGCAAGGGGCAGAGCAATCCCCACTGCACCAATCTTCAGAACAAATCCAGGCCATCAGGGAAGAGGAGGAGGAGAAAGGGAAGCCCAAGAAGGATGAAGAGGAGAACACAACTGTAGAACCAAACCAATGACAATATTTACAGCAGTATTTTAAGACAGATTGACTTGTGCACAGACTCTTTCTCAAGCCAGCACAGCATTTAGACACAACACTGTAGAAGTATGGGATAATGCGCCTACAGCTGTTTAATTTGTTTCTCTTTCCTTTTTATGGTGAGGTACATTGTTTAAACTCCTATGCTCAAGGAAGCTTTCACACTGCAACACCGGCTTTTACAGACTTTCTTTAAAGAGATTTGGGGGTGGGTGGAATTATATAAATATATATATATAGCCAGGGTTATTGGCTGCACACTTCAGCAAAATACATTTAGTGATATATTATGGTCACTGTGATATTTACAGAAGAAAGTTATCTAAGGAAATGCTGCTTCTGAAGAACATTTGCAGTTAACAGTAAGGTACCAGTTAAGTAGCTTTTGCTCTTAATGCTGAGGGATAAAAGTTCCAAAGCTTTATATGAATGCTGATATATCCTGCCAACACATATGTGTGTGTGAGGGGGTGTTTGCAAGTGTGAGTGGATGTGTGGAAATATAGCATAGTTTGAGTTCTTATTACAGTAGCTGTAGCACGTGTCCCAATACATGACAACAAACAGAAGGCCCGGATTTTAGAGAATTTGTGCCCACCAGGGAAATGGAGCCCATTTTGAGGAGCTCTGCATTCCCCATAGGCCTCCAAGTCCCAGTTTGCACTCCAGCTGCAGGCAGCAGCCTTTCAGCAGAGACCACGCTGGCCCAGGCTGGCAGCCTGGCCCTGTCTGGCTGTGTGGGCTCCTCCTCCTCCTCTTCCTCAGCACTTCCCGCACTGCTGGCGAAAGGGATGTGCCAGGAAGGCATATTTTCCAAAGGGGGTCGCGAGGGACTGTGTGCCACACTGCTCTGTTCCCCTGGAGAGGACCTGGCCCTCTGTGTGAATGGTTGTGTGGGGCAGCGTGTTTGGGCAGGAGGGAACAGAGAGCAAACATGTCCTTGGAAGCGAGAGGCGCCACTGTCAGCTCCTACCGCAACCTAACACCTCCCTGCATCAATGACCAAATATATCAGTTAAGAGCAGAGCTAAACTGCATCTTGGGAGAGCAAAAGAAGGGGAGTGTGGGGGCCATTGTCTCCTCAAAGCAATGCAGGCAATGCATTAGGAGCAGCGTGGGGGACACGTGCCAGTCCTGCATCCACTGGGCACTCGTGTGTCTCAGCAACCACTCACATGACCTTCAGAGAACTCGGTTTTTCGGTGTGAGGTGCTGGATGGGAGCAGTTTGTTGCTGGCATTCTGCTTAGAAGCGGCATGTTTGGTCCCACCGATATACTTTTTTTCCTTTTTTCATTTTTTTTTTAAGAGATAGAAAAAGATCAGGCCTGTAAGAAGAGCAGATCTTTTTGTTTGTTTGTTTGTTCTGTTCATTTGTTTTCTCTGTTGTTTATGCTGTGAGCCAAATGTCTATTTAAAAAGTTGGATATTCACTTTCAATATTTTATTTCACGATATTATATTTGTCAATGATTAGCTATCTAGATGTAAATATGGAAAAATTTTTATGGGTTCCTGTAGATAATGATATCTTTAAGAAAAAAAAAAGAAAAAGAAAAAAAGGGAAAAGTTGTTTTGTAAAGATAATTTTTTAAAAAATAAATACAAAAACATTTTTATACAGTGTAGCCATTTCAAAACCCCACAAAGTCTTGAGTAATTTGTATAGACCCTTATGGGAAGCCAGTGGTCTATAGAATCAAGGCTTCAAAATATTAATGCTCTTGGGGACTGGCCGCACCAACCAGTACCACACAATTTAGAGACTTGTTCCCACAGAAAGAATTATATACATAAAGCTCAGTATCTCTCAAAAATTATTTGACTATATATACTTTTTATACTTTGATCCTGCAGCCCTTTACTAAGAAGAGGATTGCTTGTGAAAGGTGGAGTTTGTAGAAGTCCTTTCTGTATTAAATTTCTGACATTACACTCATCACTTTTTGCCATTGTTACACATTCACCAAATTTCATGATCCTATTGATACCTCCCCAAAAGTGTTGGAAAACATTCTCTATCAAAGCCAATCAACATGTGTGTTATCACTTCAGGGGTTCTTTTAGCTTTGCATTTCTGTCAGAGTGAACTTTCGCTCAAAACAGGATTTGGGGTTTTTGCTGGTTGCATTTGCCTGATGTCATCCCATTCTACTCTTAGCAGTAGAGAGGCCGTGTTTGCCTTTCAGGAGAGTGACTAGAGCACGGTTCTGAATGCTCTTATTGGCAGAACTATTTAGTAAGTGCTTTCCAATGAAATCAGAAAAGCAAATTGCACTGTTATTTTAAAGGCAAAGGACATAGCAGAATTCACTCAAAAGAAAAAAATGATGTCTCCAAGACCTCAGCCAGTCTCCAGCAATTCCAGCTTGCACTGTTTTCACACCTTTTTAGTCACTTCGATTGATCATTTTATTTGGGTTTTTCTTGTACAAGTGATATGCATACCTTATAGTATGGGAAGGATTTTTTATGCCTCATTCTGTCCTTTAAAAATTAAACTTACAGAGATGCTTTAAAATGTCACATCTCCAAGCACTTTTTTCTTGATTTTCAGTACATAATCACCGCAACTGGATCTTAATACTGCGTTTTATGTTGCCTTCACTGGAAGATGAAAAAATTATATTGCAGCAAGTGTTAGTGGGTGCCCAGTTGGTAAAATTACAAAGAAGTGTTCGAGAATGAGGCGAAATCCTGTAAGTGGAGTTCCACATATTCCTCTGAGCTGGCATACATAGGGTTGAACTAAGAAAAAATATCCTAAAAATGTGCTGAAGTGGAATCATTATATTTTTCTAGTCATCATTTTTGGTTGCCATTAAGTAAAATTAGTGTCAGCTTCTAATTTAAGCTTTGTTTCTAGATTGCCAATGCAGCTGTCAGAAATTGATACTCCTTTGCTACCCAAGCCTGTTTGTGGCTACAGTCTGATTAACTCGGGTCTTTAGAGTGAAAAAAATTACTGACAGGCTTAAAATGAGAATGATCATTGATTTTATCCAAAATGGAAGGAATACCAGTGTATTAGTGAAGTAGCTGCAATTGTTTAACTTGGTAAGAGGTGACCTTTTTCTGCACTCCAAATAGTTACTAATCAAATCCAATATCTGCTGGTGTCCATTCCTTATGAATCTGATTTTCAGTCTTTGAACTGCATGTCTGGCAGGCAATGGTTAGGAAATTTCCAGGTTGGCTTACATATAACACAAAAGAAAATAACAGAGAGATTTTATGTCAAGAATGTGAAAAACAATTTTATTTTTTCTTTTTGCTTTGGGGTTAGTAGATAATACAGCAGGTAATTTTTAGGGGGGGTTTTAATATTTTCTAGTCCAAAGGAGGCAAAACTTTTGACCTGCAGTTACAGAAACCTTTTGGAGGCTAGATCTTGATAGTTTTCCACTTTGTGTAGTCCTTTGGTGTTGTGAACCCCAAACAAACCACAGCCTGTGAAATAGTTTAGGGAAAAAAAAAAGAAATAAAAGAAAACTAATTGTATCCAATCAGCAAAATGCTCAGGATTTAGATGGGATGTTTACAGTGTTGATATGTGTTTATGGTACATGCTGTATGTAAAACAGTGTGTTAGATACTAGAGAAAGCAACCCCCATTTAAACAGGATTTTGCAGTAACAAAAGAAAAAAATTGAGGTGTTTTAGATTCCAGTTCTTTAAAAAGAGGAGGAGAAAGATTAAAGTGGTTTTTTCTCTTGGATATTTTGCTTTCTCCACTGTTATGTCACTCGGTGACTGATCCTGTTCTCTTCTAGTCTAGGAGAAGTTTGCTGTTCCCTAGAATTGGAGTTTTTTGCAGTGTTTGCAGCTCCCAGTGCAGTGACAAAGGCACTCTGCCCCTCACATAGCAATCATGTAGAAACACTTTTGTCCCTATATTGAGAGTTTCTTGGATAGCCATATGCTGTTTACTATGGAATATAACGTCTCTCATTACACTTGTGTTGCAGATGGAAAACATGCAAATAGACTGTGAAAGGCCCAAACTATTTAATTACCTTTTCTTTTAGGAGGAGTCTGAGACTTTAGCTTCCAAGAACCCAAAAATGCTGTCTCTAGAAAAATGTTCAAAGGACCACAGTTTACTATTTATGCTCTAATTGTAGAATCTAGTGTTTCTTGATTTGTTTTTAGCTAATGTACAGAGCACGTTGACACTCACCTCTGAAAATCATCACCTCCTCCAGTAGAAAGATGATGTTTGATGCGATGTTCCAAGCCATGCATTAGAAATTAGTTACAAGAAATAGGGAAAAGGTATTTTACTGTTCTCTTGGCAGTATTTTGGATTGCCTTCCTCTGTGACTGAAATTCTTTACAGAAGTCTGGGGAACTCCTGTCCCATTGTGCAGAGTGCTGGCTTCAACACCAAATGATGGTCCCATTCTGACAGTAAATGGTTCCCAGGGCAGGTGTAATTTGAGAATGCATTTATTATCAATGTAAAGATAGTTGTTAATCATTTTTTACCCTGACATCATGTGTGAACTTCTCTCTGCATCATCATCAATCTAAAATCCAAGACTGCGACTGCTCAATACCTTTTGAGTGGATGCATTTGGGTCTTTTACCTTTAGTGTACTGCTGTTAGTTCTTAAGATCCCGATGGTCTGATTTTGGAAAGGAAGTTAAGTCTTAAAAGGTTCAAATATATGCTTCTAAAAGTAAGAGTTAGCATCTAGGCAAATTCAGTTCCCAGCCCCCTTTCTATGCATTCCGTGCTGGACATGAACTTCATTTGTTTTCTTTAGAAAGTTGTAAATTTCTGTATGCTTTTTAGATATAATTTTTTTTTTCTGAAATTCTGGTGCCATCTTTCTTCAGAAATGCCCTGGAAAGTAGGATGCAGTGTGGAGAAGCAAAGGCTTTTGTCAAATTGAGCATCAGTCAGTGCTAGGGCCTATGACACCTGCCCAGACTGTGCCCCAGTCTGGGTGCATTCACACCCCATGCTGTGCCCATGTGCTTTTGAAAATTTTGTCATGAGTACAATGCAGCAAAAGGTTTGTGGTTGGTCCCAGTTGTTAATGAAGTACTTGTGCTAAGTCTTTATCCTGCTTGGTCTGTGTGGTGTTAGGACTTTGCTGTTGATGAAGATGGTGGTTGCAAGTTTTAGTCCACTCTCACCGACTTTCAATGGCCAGATGTGCCAGTCAGTGTGAGTCTGGGCAGCCCAGCAAACCTGGGTCCACTTGAGACTGTGATCTAGAGAAGACACAAGGTGCTTGACCAACAAATACCCCAGGCAGATGCACCAGATGATTCAAGTGAGGGAGAGAGAATGTAGATGCACTGTGGTTCATCCTAAGGCTGATCCATCCGATAGACAGTGTCCAGTGGGTTGGGAGGACAACAATGACAGTCTGTGGGGTTTTTTTCCCTGAAGAAGACGGTTTTGACTGTTGGAAAACCTCTAATTCATAAAAACAACATAGAATATTTGCTATCGCTTTTGCAAGTATTGTTATGATTGAAGTGTTCTATGTTTAAGAAAGAATGTTTTCAATTTAACAATGAGTATAAGGATTTGTTGAGGATCCCATGGCCTCATGGACAAGAGATTAAATCGAGGCAAGTGCCCAGAGCAGAGAACATGCCATCACAGATGGGAGGCAGGCACAAAGGATTGCTTGCTCTTTCCAGTCTCAAACCTGGGCATTGGCTTAAGAACTTGAGTCTTCCTCAGCTGGCAGCACAGGGCTGGTGTAATTAGTCCTCGAGCTGATGGGGTTGTACACGTATAAGAAGGAAGCCAAAGTGGCATTTTGGGGGAAAGAGAAAAGGAAATTGTAGTCCAGTATGAAACACACTTTATGCAGCAAACTTTATTTTCCTTTTCTTTCAAAATCAAATGTAATCCCACTGAAATTATGTAACCATAGAGTTTCTGGGCATTTAATTACTGTTTGATGTTGCAGCATTAGTCAAAATGGTGGCAACATTAAAGAGAAGATAATTATTCCCATTAACTAGAGTGGGGGAATCTTTTACATTTTTTCATATTTTTAGGTGAATCAACAAATAAGAATGTCCAGGGCTCCTGGAGAAAAATTGTGTTAAGTGGTTTTGAACAGATGGGGGAATTATTGAAATTAGGTGACAGCTCTCTTAGGCAATCATTGGAATAACTAGCAAAAATATTGATTATTGGAGTCAAATTTTAAATTAGAGCAAAATAGCACCAGTACTTTTGAGAACAACTTAATATGACCAGTCTTTTTTTGAATTTCATCACTTTCTTTTAGGAAAACAACATTCCTCTGGAGGTAAATCAAAGCAGGGTTTAGCCCCTGCTGTGGTAGTTATTGAATCCTATTGTTGGAGGGAGCAGTGTGAGTTATCCACCATTTACATCCTAATTATGATTTGTTCAGAGGCCATTAATGGGATTTTCCTGGCAGGCAGGTGTTCTTTTGGTGAAAAATACATCACACCTTCTCAAGTAAGATGCAGATGTTGCCTGTGTGAGCACCCATCTGAATTCTTAGGACTATTCTGGAGCCTGGTGGCAGAGGAGTGCCGGTGTATTTCTGGAGAGTCTGTTTTCACAATGACAAAAAGGGTCAAAAGCTTGAGCTAGATAACAATAATTCTGTGATAAAACTGAAATGATAAGCATTGTGCAGTTTGAAACCTTGCCAATGTGACTTGTGGTGTATGCAAAAATTCCCCCCGAGTGCTTGCACGTGTAAAACTGCTTCTTCTGGGAGCTGATGAGTTTGGGTAAAGACAACTGGCCTTGGTTGTGGACTGCCAACCTCAAGGATATGGTAAACCAAGAAGAATTTTTGACTGAAATTGTTTAATTCTCCCTCATTAAGGAAAACTTTGCTTCATGCTAGGGGAGGAAGAAAAAGAGCATATTTATTTCATTTGAGCTTTTCAGATGGCTAGTCTGTGCCAGTTGTTTCTTACTTCCAAAGCCATGCGTGTAGTATGTCCAAGGTGTGGGAATGGGGCAACAGATGAGACTTGTTCTGCCATGGATGATATATGGGATCTGTGTGCACCAAGGAGCGCCACTGAGATCTGCAGGTATGGAAAGGAATGAATCCCAGCAGCAAATTAGATGGGAAACGCAAATAATTCTGTTTTCTGTGTGGAAGCGTTAAGAGCAGGTATAAAGGCCTTTGCCACAGCTGCAGACCACGTGTCCTTTTATGGATTGAATTCTCTTCTCGTGATTCAAAACCACAGAAATGAGATCAAATGAGCAAAACACAGAGTGTGCTGCAGGCCTGGTGAGGCAGGTGTGTGTTAGATGGCTTCTCCCTGGGCTTGCAGAGGGAGCTGTGCTTGCACTGTTGGCTTGCAAATGGCCTGGGTTCCCAGACGGAACAGGGCAGCCCGGCACGGGGGGAGGAACTGGGGGGCAGGTAAAGAACAAATGCTGAATTTCATAGGGTTGTTGTCAAAATAGCTTGAGAAATACCTTAGAGAAATGTAATTCACCTCTATACCCACCTTGCCATGGTTTGCTCATGGCTACAGCCCTCAGGCTTGGATGCTCTAGTTTTCAACTGGTCTTCCTTTACCACAGCGAACACTTAAGAACAATTAATGTGAATCAGCAATTGCTCTTTGCTTCTGAGTATTTATTTAAAGGAGATTGAGTTTTGGGGGTTTTGGTGGTGGTGACAGTAATCATTTTGCCCCCATGCTTTCATAAAAAAGGAATAAAAAGGCTCTGTGATCTGATCAGAGAGAAAACAGTGA